CCCTAAACCCTAACACCCTGAACCCCTAAACCCTCAACCCCTAAACCCCAAGCCCTGAAGCCCTAAACTCTAAAGCCCTGCAAAGAGGCGGAATGTCCGCCTTCTGCCAGGGTGGGATGGCCTGGGGGGAGGCAATTCTTTTCGGATCCCTATCACGATCCGTATAGATTGACTCGACTTCAAGAAAACATGAGCTTCATGGAACTCACCCGCTGAGTATCCTTACACTAACCCTGAACCCTTATAAAGCCCTCTAAAGGAACCCTTACAGTACCCCTATAGTAACCCTAAACCCTGACAACTCGCAACCTTCCCATGGCTCAAACCTCCGCACGACCTCTCGACCCTAGGGCCGCCCATATCGGATCTTCCAAAAACAGGCGTACCCTGTTTGGGGGTCCTTATAATAAGGACTCTACTATTTTGGGTACTATGTTGGGGTCCCCTATTTTCGGAAACTCCCCTATAAACCCTTTAGGCACTAAACCCAGAACCCTAGGCGCCCTAAGCTGTACCCTAAACCCTATAGAGGCTAAACCCTCACCCCCCGAACACCACGAAAGCCTCGCTAGTGCCTCTCCCCCGGGCACCCCCCTTCCCGACCTCCCCGCCCTCGTCAGCTTCGACGCATGGGCCCTTATTGACGAAGGAAAATTGCAAACGAACATGAACAAACAAAATACCCACAGTGATGTGGGGAACAACAAGGGTACACTATGGCATCGCGTAAGTATATAGGGAGCTAGCCGCGGCGGGGGGGGGGGGGTACGACCTACCCAAACCCTAAACCCTAAACCCTAAACCCTGCCCTAACTACCTACCCAGACCCCTTCATCAACCTGCAAGTCCGTGCGCCCAAGGGGCACTGAAGCAATGGTTCATCCACTCTTCGACACGCATGAATGGCAGCAACCGACGAAAGTGACAAGCGGCTCTTACATCCAGTGTGAAAGCTCAGAAGTGTGTAATATAAATAAACAAATAAACAAATACATAAATATATATATATATATATATATATGTACATATACATATACATATACATATACATATACATGAACATGAACATGAACATGAACATATACATATACATACATATATGTACGTGCATGTGCATGTGCCGATGTATGTACCTATGTACGTGCGCGTGTTCTTATGTATGTATGTATATGTATGTATGCTTGTATGTTTGCAAGCATGCATGCATGTACGTATGTGAGTGCGAGAGATAATTAAGTAAACACACATTAGGAACAAATAAGCCTATGTATATACGTATTTATCTTTATCTACAGAAACAGACATGTATTCATGATGAATTACAGAATACCCAATCACGAAATTTATCATAACGTATCAGAGCACATCAGACCATGTGTGTATATATGTATATGTATATATATATATATATAGATATATATATCTATATATATTAGTATTAAACACCACAACTGGCCTTGAAGGGTGGAGCGAGCTTGGCCGTGGTCGCCGGAGGAATTTGTGGCTCGGGCAGCCTTAAGCACAGGAGACTACCCCACGACGTCCGAAATCCCTTATATGGGTGGTTGTCAAAATTAGGGTTCGTTTTGGGGTACCTTAAATATTAGGTGCCGAATTATAACACGGACCCCAAAAGGGACCTTAATTTTGAGAACCACCCATATAGTTAAGGGATAAACCATAAACTATAGTAAAAATCCTAATTTGATCTAAAGTATATTCATTCATTAAGTTCATAGTGCTGAGTGCTTCAAACCATGGCCGGAAAGGCTGCTATATAACATACTGAGAGACGGTTCCCGTAACCAGCTTTTTAAATTGACGATTTGGTTTGGCCCGGTAGTGCCGCCAGAAGTGACACCGCTTGCCATCGCGATGAAGCGCCCATCTGGGGGCACTCCTGCCTGATAGAGCGCCAGTAAATTTGGATCTTTCCCAGATACTGTTTCATTGGCGCCCGGCTCAGTTACTGAGAACACAAGGTCCCAGGTGCAGTGCCCAGTGTAGACACAAACGACGATGTAGGCATCAACTCGATCTGTTCCATCACTGACATTTGCCATTGTCTTTCGGCCGAACTCATTCATTAAGGGATAAACTGTAGATATAGTAGGATCCTAGTTTGATTTAAGGTACATTCATGAAGGGATATTGGAACGTCAGGGAGTTTATGGTTTTAGAAGGGTACTCTAGCGGTTCTATCGGGTTTGCTGGTTTGCGTTTCGGGTTACGGCTGTCTAAGGGTTTAGGACTTGGGGGGGGTGTTTCGGGTATGCAGGAATCCTAAACCCTAAACCCTCACCCTTGAACCCTGAACCATCTTGGCCAAGAGCCCTGAACACCGCAAACACTAAAACACCTAAACCCGAAATGCACTGAAGCCGACGAGCCCTCAAAGGTTAGTAACGGCTAGAGTGAAAGATTTAAGGCCCTTGGGGCCATCAATTGAGCCGAAGGCCGGAGCCTTCGTCATGAGGGTCACAAGATAACATCTGCCCGTTGAACATCGGTTTAGGGTTTAGGGTTTAGAAGGTTTAGGGTTTAGGGTTTAGAAGGTTTAGGGTTTGGAGTTTAGAAGGTTTAGGGTTTAGAAGGTTTAGGGTTTAGAAGGTTTAGGGCTTAGGGTTTATGGTGCATGTTAGAGACCCGCTACCCCATCTTGATAAAACGCGACGACATGCCCCTCCCACGCCCCATGACAGCTTAAGGCAACACCTCAAAGCCAAACCGCACCAAAGCACCACGAAGCCACATACAACCCTAGTGTGATCTTTTTCCAGAGTAAAACAAGGCTCTTCATGTCCTATATGCAAGACCTACTTGGAGCTTCATGGGTAGTAATAAGTGGGGTTATGAGTCCCCTAGTATGGATTATAGGTATAGTTACCTTACTTATAGCTACCCATGAACCTCCAAGTATATAACCCGAAACACCCGAACGACTAAACCCCCCAACGCAAAACCTGCACAGCGGTCCATCCCCAAAACTCAACACCCACCCAACCAAAAACGAACAACCTAATCTAAACCCTAAACCCAAAAAACCTGAAACCCTAAAACCCTAAGGGTTGCGGTTTTTTTTCTAACCCTAATTTTGAAAAGCCTGAAACCCCCGAAACTTCTGGGAGTGCTGCGCGCCCGGATCTCCAGGTGCCGCTGGTGGCCCCTTGAACAGGGGCAGCCTCGTATTCTTTGAGCTAAAGGCCCCATACCAAAAGGGTCCAAAGTACCTATATAGTAGAATGTAGGGTTTCTACATTAGAAATTACTATTATGATGTTGCCATAGTAGTTACGGTTTAGGGTCTATACAGTTTATACTATTTTGGGTAATATGATTATGGTAACTTAAGTTGAGTTTCCTACTTGGAGTCAGAGGCCCCATACCCTAGTGACCTAAGGAATTAGATGGTGGCTGTCAAAATTAGGGTCCCTTTTTGGGGTCCTTGCTATCTTACGGCACCTAATATTTAGGGTGCCCAAAAAGGGACCATAATTTTGACAACCACCCATATGTTAAGGCTCTTGGGCCCAGAGACCATACTATACAAGGCTGTTGGTCTATTTTGATCCCTAGGGATAGTATATAGTTCCTTTCTGGGGTATCGAATCCTAGAGGGCAATCCCAAAAAGGAACTACTATGGGGCCTCTGGGTAGGTTCAGGACCTCAGGTTTTCAGGGTTTTAGGGCTTTAGGGTGGAAGTCGCTGGGTTTTCGGGTCTTGGGTATGATGAGCGTCCTAAGCACTTCCGTCTTTACATGAAACGAAGCATGGAATCCTTAAACCTAGAAACCCCTGAAGAACTTTAGTAACTATACTAACGAGGAACGCCAAGAACCCTAAACCGATACTTATATCACCCCCTCGGCAGGTTTGGGGTTAGTGAACCTGTGCTATTTTGCGGCTCTTGATTCGTCCTTCTAACATCTTCAGGCCTAAACCCGAAATCGCACGTTTTGGTAGAGCCTTAGCAAGTAGAACAGGGGTTTGGGTGGGTTTGGGTTTGGGTACATGATAGTATATATGTACAAGTAGTATAGGTATAGGTAACTATCAAGGCCCCTATAAACAACCCTAAACCCTAAACCCACTGGCCCAAAACCCCCCGAAACAAAAGTTGAAACTTTCAGAATCGACTACCTTATAAGAGCCCCAAAAGTTGAAAAGTTGAGTTTACAGCCAATAAGTAAACCCTAAACAATAACCAACAGCATAATATGCATGACCAGGAGCCCTATGCCAGAGAATAGGACATTGTGGGCTTATCGACTATCGCTTTATTCAGGAACCCTGAGGAAGAGTGTTTGTACGTGTTATGGACCCCCAACTGTGAAACTCAATGGTCCCTTCTGTGTTTTATCGATATTGCTTGTCTTACAAGTCTGCTGTTAGATCAAACAAAAGCTCTCTTTGTCGCCGGCGATGTGCCGCACGATCGAGATGATAGTCAGACCTACTGCACTGTATAAACGGAAGTCACGTGGAAAAAACGTGTTCGTGCTATATCGCAGGTAACAGAACATGCTTCTACCTCCAAGGCAGGAATATGTTACTCCCTCTCAAGCATGAGCATCGGGCAGTGAAGCAGCCACTCTCATTGCATTTTCCACGCCCCTAGCAGCGCAGAAACTTCTCAGAACATTCTCCGGGCGGACGAGGCCCCCGGTAATACTTCGGCTCGGCTCTATGCACATCGCTTTGCCCGGAAAGTCCAGATGATGCATGGGCACCGCCACCATCACAGCTCCATGAGAGCACGAACTGCTCGCGGCATTCGAGCTCCCAGTGTCGTCGAAGGCTTCCTTCAGAGATGAACAGACGATAATGCTACGATTGCAATATGCCGACAGCGGCTGATAGATCATACCGTATCGTAGATACGTACAATACAGTATCGTATGAGTATAGTTATGGAATATCATGTCATATCATATCATATATCCTAAAAAGCACTATTTGATCACTTCCCGCCTTTTGTCCAAGGGGAGGCACATGGAGATCATGAGCAGCGCTGACGCTTCGCAGTCAGGGGAGGGTCACCCAACTTCTCGGGAAGGAGCATCACGACCTTCTACGGGTTATGAGGGTTTTGGGCTTACGGTTAAGGAGTTAGGGGCTTTTCGTGAAGTTCTGTGAGACGATTAGATACACGACCTTTTCGATTCAGATTTTTGCTTTGTACGATTTCTCTAGGTTTGGCGTTTGGTCTAAGGCTAAGGCTTGGGGTTCATGGCTCACGGTCTCGGGTTGTCAAGATTAGGGTCCCTTTTTGGGTCCCAATTTATAGTACGGCACCTAATATTTAAGGTACCCAAAACGGGACCATAATTTTGCCAACTGCCCACATAGGGCTTGCATCATCTAAGGGGGGTCATAATGTGGTTTTGAGTCTTGCGCTGGCATTTTGGGGTCCTTATAATCAGGATCCTACTATTTAGAGTATCATAGTAGGGTTCCCTACACTGAACTTAGAACCCTAGCAAAAATTCGAATTTTTGCTGTTTCTTAGGGATTATAATAACCCAAAACTAAAAAATATTTCTAAGGACCCCTAAGGTAAGGTTCCCTATCTTCGGGAAAGCCACACGAACGAGCAGGAGGCCGACAACCGAACAACAGCCCACCCTGCAGATCGACATAAGCCGGACCCAGGCCCCCAAACTACTTGGAGGATCATTGGACTTAGTAAGGTTCCTTAAAAGGGCTCCTTAAAGGGATCTATAGGGGTTCCTTAAAAGGGATCTATGGGGTTTAGGGTTTAGGGTACTACTTGGAGGATCGTGGGACTTAGTAAGTAAGGTTATAAGTACCTTAATTGGGGTTATAAGTATAGTTACCCTAATTATAACCCTAGTTACTAAGTCCCATGATCCTCTAAGTACTGCCCCCATACAGTAACAGTCTATAATCGGCCTACTGTTAAGGTCCAAATATGGCTATACTATGAATATTTTCCAACTTTTACTAAGTGGGGGTCGTATCCAACCTTTATTGTAGCCCCTAATTACCTCTTAATGAGAAAAATTAGAGCCCTTTAAAGGGTACTTGGGGGGTGCTGGGAAAGCGGCACCTTAAACCCTAAACCTAAACCCGAATACTACAACTGGTCGAGCCACCCGAAGCCCTAAACCCAGCTGGCCAAGTTTCGGCTGACTTGTCATCTTTGATTTCTTCTGCCATACGCTGAACGTCAGTTTGGGACATTGCGCTGATGCGGTCAGGCATTCCAGCTGCCAAGGAAAGCATGTCGTTCAAGACCTGAGCATTCAGGTTCGAGCATGTGCCATGGAGGAACGGGACAATTATAACTACTATTACCACCATTCTTCCATTCCCTACTAACCAAAGCTAAGTTACTAGAAACTGTTACTGCGTTAGTCAGAGCCTGATGCCGACTGTACAGGGATCGTATCCAAAGGTATCTTAAGATATGCTAGGCCCCCCTGAACCCTAACCCGAAAACGCCCTAACCAAGTCCTCTAAACCACTAAAACCCTTACACAAGAAAAGCCCCAAACCGCACCTTAACCCCAAATAACATACCTTTTTAGGGACGTATATAAAGAAATCATATTAGGGGACCCGAAAAAGGCAGGTTCCTTAGGGTCCAGGCAGGCAGGGAGCAGGCAGCGGCACCAGTTCGCCACCGGGCTCCCGAGCGACTTCGCCAAAGTGCTCTGCTTCCGTACCGCTGCGCACACGGCGAACCTGAAGGGCTCGGGATTTCTGATTTGGGGTCAGGGTTTATAGTGCTTAGGAGTTTCGGCTTAAGAGTTCTTTGATCTATTTTAGAGGTTTCGGAATTGAAATGTAGGTCTTCGGGCTTTTGGGGACGGGTAAGAGCTTTAGAATCCAGGATTCTCGGGTTCACGCTGGTTCTGGTACCATGCGGTTGTGGGGAGACCGAACCGAATCTTTTTCGCCGCAACATACCGCTGACTGTCCAGAAGTGGCCTAGGGTTTAGGGCTTTCATATGCAAACCGATGCGATATGATATGGACGTTGCCATGTAGAATATGCACTATGTAAGGAATCTAAGGTGTCGTGAGTGTGAGAATACCTGGTGCGACCTGATGTATCTTGCCGTGTGTAGCTGCAACCCGGTGGTTGCAGGTCTCTGTCTCTGTATCTGTCTCTCGGCACGAATGTAAATGCATAGTTTACACTTCCCACACACATGCAAACACCATCAATGACGACGTGCGATGCAACTATAGAAAACTACGGGTAAGCATACAAACATACATAAACTTACATAAGACCACCACGCGCGCACGCACGCACGCACGCACGCACGCACGCACGCACGCACGCACGCACGCACGCACGCACGCACGCACGCACGCACGCACGCACGCACGCACGCACGCACGCACGCACGCACGCACGCACGCACGCACGCACGCACGCACGCACGCACGCACGCACGCACGCACGCACGCACGCACGCACGCACGCACGCACGCACGCACGCACGCACGCACGCACGCACGCACGCACGCACGCACGCACGCACGCACGCACGCACACGCACACGCACCCGCACGCACACACACACAACACACAGACACAGAACACACACACACACACACACAGAACACACACACACACAGAACACACACACACACAGAACACACACACACACACACACAGAACACACACACACACAGAACACACACACACACACATACAGAACACACACACACACAGAACACACACACACACACACAGAACACACACACACACATATACACATGTATATGTATATTTAAATGTATAATATGCGACAATTATTCTGTGTGTATATATATATATATATATATTTATGTGTATATATGTATATATATATATATATATGTATATACACATGTATGAGTGCATGGGATGGACGTACGGACGTATGGGAGGGCGGACAGATGGACGGACGACCGACGGAGGGCGGGAGGGAGGGATGTACATAAGCATGTGTGTACGTCTGTATGTAGGCATTTATGGACATTTTTGCACAGATGCATCTGTGCATGCAGACACAAGGTGCTTGCATGCATCATCATGCACATCTTTCTCTCGCGCAAACCAACGTGTTCAAAAGTAATGCCAGCAAACCTTACAGACAAAGATAGACAACATCATTCCGAATTGAACGACACCAGGCCAACCTACAAAATCAACCACGACGACCCACGATAAGCCCGGTATTTAGGGGCCTGAGTGCAGGGTCTTGGGGGGTGTATTGTACTGTAAATGTAAAAAGGAGCTCTGGGGAAAAGTAGCTATTGACGATGTTCCGAGCCCCTGGCGGCACTGCACAGCCGTCCAAGCCACCAGCGGTTTTCGCGCTCCTCCACTGCCACCCTTTCCCGCTCCTGTTTTCTGCAGGTCTCCAGCTCCTCCGAAGGTCGTTCAGGGTTTGGGGTTAAAGTGGCTTTTACGGAGTAGGAGTATATATCTGTATATATATATATATGTATAATTATACAACCACATCTTTACATTGATCAATGAAGGAACATACCGGCTTCATCCGGTCTTATGAGGGATCTGTAGGAGGAGACCGTGGCCCAAAGCCTAAAGCCAGAACCCAATCTTGCAAACGCCGAGCTCATGACGAAACATTGACCTCGCAAACCCTCCACTGACTAAGTTGACTTACGGTTTAGGGTTTAGGGGACGGGTCCAAAGTAGCTGTATAGTAGAACAGAGGGTTTCTATATTGGGAATTACTATTATGATTTGGGGAAGTATCCCCCGCAACACTACCTAGGACCCTTTGGGATTGAGTTGACCTACACTCCGAGGCCGTGAACCACCAGATAAATATGTAAGCCTGATGTCCCGACAGTGGATCTCACACTAACCCTCGGCAAGCAGGTCCTAGATAGCAGCAGGGATAAGCCCAAAACTCCCCAAACTGAATTTTCAGTTATTCCCCGAGACCTCTCTCTAAGCCGGAAGTTCAGAGAATTGTACATGATTCCGAACTTGAGCGCTAAAAAAATGCAGGCGCGTGACGACGTGTCCTGGAGGGGGAGGGTTCAGGGTGCAAAATTGCTTAAAGGATCATGGGACTTAGTAACTAGGGTTCCTTAAAGGGCTCCTTAAAAGGGATCTATAGGGGTTCCTTAAAGGGATCTATAGGGTTTAGGGTTTAGGGTCTACTTAAAGGATCATGGGACTTAGTAAGTAGGGTTATAAGTAGGTTATAATTAGGATAACCCCACTTAGGGGACTTATATCCCCAGTTATAACCTACTTACTAAGTCCCATGATCCTCTAAGTGCACAGCGGCAGGAACTTGGAGGCAGTTTTCACTTAGGATGCGGGACATGCTTTCCGGACTAGAAATCCCAAAGCCATAGTTAACCCTAAACCTTGCTATCGGACCCTTGACTAGTTGGGACCGGGCTTTGGGCTTGTACTATCGTACATTGAAACTTAAAAATAACAAGACAATAGGCTACGCAACTTTTGTACTATCACGACCCTGAACCCCTAAACCCCACATCTCTAGACCCAAAGCCCTGCAAACCCAAACCCTAAACCCTGAACCCTAAACCCCTTAACACGCACAAAATCCTGAAACCAAACTTACCCTTGCCTTAGGCCTGTAACCTTGACCCTCAAACCCCTTTACAAAAAGAAACTCCCGAAACCAAACTTGTCCTCGGAGGTGACTGGAGATGTCCCGCTTGTCAGGCGCCGGATCTCTTCGAACCTGCCGATTTCAGACTCGAGCGCCCCGGTGCCCCGGCTTCGGAGCTACGGTTTGGACCATTTCCCTGATCCTAAAACACCAACTCAGCGGCTGAGTTCATAAGCCCCCCAAAAGTGTACACTTTCAGTTTTATAGTGGTTAATATTATCCCAAAAAGTGTAAAGTGTATCCACTCAGCTACTCAGCCACAATAGCAGGATCCACATAACGAAGCCCTGGGAAAGGCCCAAGGAGTCTTAATCAGGCTCCTAGACTTAATCCGCAAACCCTGAGAGTACCCGATACCACAAACCCTGAACCCTTAGTCCTAAACTTTACGCACTAAATCCTATAAACCTCGAACCCTCAATCCTAAACCCTGAGCCCTAAACCGTGAACCCAGGCATTGGCTTCAGGGTGCAGCTAGGGCACATGCAATCCACTTGCTTCTGAGCAGCCATCGGATCGCAAGAAAAGTCGATGGTCCTTCAGTTCCCTTACTTATATACTCTCGAATACGGCTGATGGACAAAATCCTGCATTACCCATTATAACGAATATACCATAATTCCCATAGTTTAGGGTCCTGAAGGTCATGCAGGATTTTGTCCATCAGCAGTATGTCCTAAATTACCAACCACTATTCAGGATCGTAACGGCTGCAGTAAAGGGTCATTGGGGGGTCCTGGTAATTAGGGTTCAGGGTTTAGGGTGAAGGTCGATCCTTACTGTGTCGCACCAACAAGGCAACACATCCTTAAGATATCGAAACATTGAGCATGCTGCTACCCGGGTTTTTGGTGTTTGCATGAAAATTAAGCTGCATAGATACCATAAAGCTCATAGATACCATACAGCTCAAAGGTACATTAATAACTAAGTTCTTCACCAGTGAAAGGTTTACGAAATAACTGCGTGACGAGCCACAGTAGAGGCCGTCGGTCCTTACAGGGTAAGTCCGTGGAGCCAGTGGAGATTGTGCAGGAAACCTGGGCACTCACCATTAAGCCTTGCGGTTTGCCCTGTGTGTATAGGGTTTAGTGCTGGTGGCTTCAGGTTTAGGGTTTAGGGTTTAGGGTTACAGTTCTGGGGTAGAGGAGCAGGGCTCACCGGCGCACTCACGCAAAGCATGCTGATCTCAGGCCTGGCTAGTAAGTCACCACTGCCATGGTGAGTCAGCGTCTGCTTCTGTCAAACATCTTCTCTTTCATCATGCAGCACGATCAGAATACGAACAGCAACATCATGCTGCCATTCAGCTGCAGGCTCTGCCTCAATGCAGTGCCGTGCCATCAACGCGAGCTGCTGGCGCCGGCAAACACGGGAAAATGCGGGGCTAAGGCAATGCCAGCCCGAGCATACCAGCAAGCTACAAGATCTGCAAGACCCGAAGCAGGAGAACGCAACATGCAACAGTCTTCAAGCATGACATATGCACCAGTCACGAACATGCGCTGATTTCAGGCCTGGCTAGTAAGTCACCACCTCGGCAGCGACGCCGCATCAGTTTCTGTGACTTTCTTTCATCATGCAGCGCTTTGCCATCACGTGCACTTGATGCTACGCGCTCTTTCTTTTGCAGAGAAGAGCGGGACCGAAATGGACCGACATCTTGGAGCATTCGCCGGTCATCAACATACTGCAACCTCCATCCCAAGCACATGTATGCAGTCCAAGGCATGTGTAAGCCAGTCCGATCCTCGTCTTCTTGTCCCAGATTTCGCGAGATCTGACTTAGGGCCCAGGCGGTTGATGCAGGTTTGGGGTCTTGGCTTTGGAAGGATCGGGGCGGCCCAGAAAGCTGTGGGCCGAGAAACCCAAACCCTAAATGCAAACTCCAAACCCTATCCCTACGGGTCCAAGCACCCAATAATCATATCAAACATTAACCTACATATCTGCCATCCTAAACCCAAGTACCTTGTTATTGGGTGCTTTAGACCCGCAGCGTATAAGCTCAGGGTATACATGGGTGGTTGTCAAAATTAGGGTCCGTTTTGGGTACCCTAAATAATAGGTGCCGTATTATAATAGGGACCCAAAAAGGGAGCCAAATTTTGACAACCACTCACATGCGTCTGAGCGGCGTTGTATGTTGAGCCAGTTTCCATTCTCATCTTCTCCACAAGGCGGACCTCTGGGTTTAAGGGGTTTAGGATTTAGGGTTTTAGGGTTTAGGGTTTAGAGTTTAGGGTTTAAGGGTTTGGGGCTAGGGCCTTCGCATAAAGCTGAATCATGGGAATACGGCTTTGGGGTAGACAGTGGCTCTGTTGTGGAATTGGGTTTTGAGTTTAGGGCTTCATGTACGAGGGCCTGAATCACAGGAATAGGGTTTTGGGGCATGACAGACTGTATAAATCTGTATGCATATGTTGGGATTGAATAGGGTTATATGAGTTTAAGCCTTATATGACTCATGACTGTTGGGGTTAACGGTAACCCTACCCCCTAATACGCCAAACCCCCAACACTAAAGCCTGAACCTAAGCCCCTACCCTAAACTCCAAACCGCGGCCCTAAACCCTAAACCCCCAAACCCTAAGCCGCAAACCCTAAATGCCCAAAACCCTAAACCCCAAACCCGAAGGGCGAATGGCCTCCATGATGTCCGCAAGCCAGTGCAGGGCAAGCCTTTGCTGAGCGCATGCCGCGAGTCTGGCGTCGACCTCAGGAGCGTGGGCTATTTGTTTTAAAGTTTAGGGTTTTCTTGCGCAATTTGGGGCTTAGGAGATCTTAGGAGTCTAGGGTTTGGAGCTTATGGCTGAGGAGTTGCTTTCAAGAACTTTCGGGTTTAGGGTTTGGGGGTGTACTTGTAGGGTGTAGGGGGCAGACACGGTGTAGGGTATGAGATTCAGGGCTGAAGGGCCATAGAATTCAGGTTGGTTTCTATAGAAACCTGAATAATTTCCAAGACTATTCTTAGTGTTCCTTAAGTTGTATACTGTTAGTATAATGGGCCCCAAACCCTACTCTAATTATGAAGGCTCCTTTGTTATAATACCCTTATAGATACCTTATAGACACACTTTTAGTATAACGGGCCCCCAAAACCCTGTTCTAATTATCAAGGCCCCCTATATTTCTCACCTGAAACCTTCGCTCCTGATCCTCGAACCAGTATGGGTTTATAGGGGGAGCGGGGGGGGACGGTTGATGATATAAATCCTGCATTACCAAGACCATAATTCCCATAGTTTAGGGACCTTAAGGTAATGCAGGATTTATACCATCAACCGGAGGACTTACCTTTGGTTAGTAGGGAATGGAAGAATGGTAGTAATAGTAGTTTTAATTGTGCCCGATTCCTCCATTCCCTACTAACCAGAGGTACGAGGAGGGGGGAGCGGGAGGGAGAATGGTGAGGGGTGGGGTTGGAGGGTGGGGGCGTGGGGGCAAGTAATCTAACCCTTAAGCCATTATAAGCCGTAAATTCTTAGCTACCACTCCATGCATCATGCTATGATTGGTGTTTATCATCATCATTATTATCATTGGCATTGTAGTTGTGAATAGTGCTACTACTATGGTTGACAAACTCACAACGATTACAAGTCTTGCCAGTGTTGTTGTTGTTGTTGTTGTTGTTGTTGTTGCTGTTGTTGCTGTTGTTGCTGTTGTTGTTGTTGTTGTTGCTGTTGTTGCTGTTGCTACTGTTGTTGTTGTTGATGTTGTTGTTGTTGTTGGTGGTGGTGGTGGTGGTGGTGGTGGTGGTGGTGGTGGTGGTGGTGGTGTTGTTGTTGTTGGTGTTGTTGTTGTTGCGGTTGTGGTTGTGGTTGTGGTTGTTGTTGTTGTTTTGTTGTTGTTGTTGCTGTTGTTGTTACTTTTTACTGGTATTATTGCGCTTTAAACTTTTTAGGTCGGGGCCTTTATGGAGTTCCTAGAGCGTTTCGCACAGGGGTCCTGCAAGGCTTCATGTAGGCTTCCCAGGCTGGAATAAGGCTTGCGCTTGAGGGTGCCTTCTGTGAAGAATAGAACCAGCAAGGTTCTGCATTGCAAGTGCTGAGCTGAAGCCAAAAGCCCCAAAAGCCGCTTGCGAACCGGGATTCGGATTTAGGGGTTTCCTTAACCTACCAGAACCCACTTTTTTGTAGGGCCCCCCAAAATCCCATTAGGGTTTATTATAAGAACCTACAAAAAGTAGGATATAGTAGGTCTAGGTTGGCTTAGGGTAAGGCCTTCTGCTCCTACACGGTCGCCTCGAAGCAGACGCACACCCGAGCAGTATCGGAAAGGCCGGAATACCTCAAGGTTGTTTGGTTAATATGGGGGCCTGAAGAATTACAAGCGGGCTTGAGATCGAGGGAACAGTAGTCGCAATGATTCAGGCCCCTACATTAACTAGGATGCCCAGTAGCCATGGAATAAAAAGAAGGAACCTAGGACTACAAAAAGGGAATAAGGGTACTGCTGGGCATCCTAGTTAAGTTTTTAGGGACCTAGGTTTAAAGCTATGTTGAAAGGACTTCCGCTTTTTTGCTTCCATCGGAGGAGACACCTCGAGGTTAAGCTATGCTTTCTTCTTTGCTTTCTAAGCTCTTGCTTTTTCGAAAAGGGCTCTGCGGCTCTTCGATATACCTTGGAGGATTTGGATTATGTCGAGGGTTTTTGGTGTGTTCGAACCAGAGCCTTTGACTTAAAGGCTTAACGCAGCGTATGGCTGATGTTTTATACCAACAGCCTCCAAGACTGCGAAGTTTGAGTCCAAATCGTCCTTGAAGCAGAGCTTGCGGAGAAGCCCTGCAGCCCTCTGTACCCAGACCTTCCAAAATCCCCTAATTAGGGAATATATACCTTAAATTATAATAGGATCCCAAATATGAATTAAGGTATATTCCTTAATTAAGGAATTTTGGAAGGTCTGGGTAAACCCCAAGCCCCAGAACCCCCCCCCATTCTCAAGCCCCGCAGCATGAACGTGCTCAGCTCTTGCTTTACGCTATCCCTCCAAGGACCTCATAGTTAGGGCCCTAGACCCCTTAAGGACCCCATAATAAGGTCCCTGGAGGCATAGGGTTAGTGTTTAAGGGTTTAGGGCTGAAGGTTTTAAGAGGCTTCCGTAAGGTTTAGACTGTTCGCTCCGTAGCTTTACAGGGGTTGTATAGGGTTTCAAAACCTGAATTTACGGTGTTTTCCTTTCTTGTCGGCAGTGTCTGGCCGCACCTCACACTGGAGCAATTGGTAGTGCTGCTGTTCCTAGTATTGTTGATGTAGCGATGATGTTGACATTGTTGATATCGCCAGTACTGTTCTTGCAACTACTAGTGCTGACCCGGTTGTGATTGGTATTGCGGCCATTATTGATTTTGTTCTCACCTGCATGGCCAGCTGCACAGCGTGCGGGCCACCTGGGGTAAACTCCGGGACGCGCACACGGGGCAGCCGCCTGTAGCGCGGAGTCTGAGACATCTCTAGTATTTTTTGCATGAACCCCTACAGTATAGAACCCTGTAAAGGTCTTCTACTACAAGGGCCTGAATCATTTGAGAAGGGTTTTTGTGCAGATTTCGGGACTCTAAGCCCTTATAGTAACCCTTTAAAGGAACTCTCATAGTACCCTTATAGTAACCCTTTAAAGGAACTCTAATAGTACCCTTATAGTAACCCTTTAAAGAGGAACCCTTGTAGTACCCCTATAGTAACCCTTTAAAGGAACCCTTGTAGTAAGCTTAGCTTTGTCATGTGAGGTCGCATGCCCGAAGTAGCAGAACCCATCACCGCCTCCTGGGGACGTCGGCTGGGATTTCGGGTTGGGTTTAGGGTTTAGGGTTTAGGGTTCAGGCGGTTCAGGGTTCAGGATTGAGGGTTTAGGGTTTAGGGTTCAGGGTTTAGGGTTTAGGGTTCAGGGTTTAGGGTTCAGGGTTTAGGGTTTAGGGATTTCGGGTTGAGTTCTTATTTGTCGGGAGTCATGGGGAACTAAAGGTTAACCTTTTTTGGTTCTCTGGGGATTATATAGGGACGATACTTCCCCAAAAAGGTTAAAGTTTACCTACTCTACTACTAGGTTTTGGGTTGAGTTTAAGCTAAGGATGAATTACGGCTCTTAGGCCTTTACGGCCTGGTCAGGGGAGGTTATCCTCGCAACTCTCTCGAGATTACCACAACATGAATCCCACATGGGTGATGGATGGATGGGATCCGACATCTAAGCCCTAAACCCTTAAGGTTTGAGACAGTCCCTTCTGGAAGGTTTATAATTAGGGCTTAGGGATTCATGGGGCAGACGGGATCATGGGTTTGGGGCCGAGCGCCGAGAAGCTTGGAGTATGTTCACAACCTCAGATAAAATACTAGGATGCCCAGTAACTTAGGAACAAAAAGGGCTCCCTTTTTGGTATTGGGTAACTTTATAAAGGAACCTAGGACTACACAAAGGGAATAAGGGTACTACTGGGCATCCCAGATTATGCCCAAGGACCCAGGCTCAAACCCATAAGACTCGCTAAAAGCCCAAAGCGGCCCTGAAACTGAAACCCTGAACCCTAAAACCAAAGGCCTTTGTATACCTCAACCTACCAGAACCTACTTTTTTGTAGGGTCCCTAAAAATCCCATATTAGGATTTATATGTAGAACCTACAAAAAAAGTAAAATTTAGTAGGTCTAGGTTTAAGCCTATGCAGACGAGGCCTTTCTTCCTCTTCTCTCGACGATGGGGGCTGCAGACTGCGCTCCAGGATTTCTCGCAGCTCGTCGTCGGGTGGCAAAGCCTCGAAGGACTGATCCACCCCAACGCCCCACCAGAATCTAGTTGTGCAGCCGGTTTAGGGTTTAGGGACATGTGCAGTGTCCAGTGGTTAGTTTTGTGCATTAGGGTCCCTTCTACGGCCGTTTCGGTAGGGGTGCCGTGCCATTTTGGGGACCGGAGAAGGGACGCTGATTTGGAGAGCGACCCGTGTAACTTCATTATAAAGGTTGTGTTTCAATCAAGCTCCTGCATCAAATTCTTGCGGCCGTTTGGCTCCCAAGGGCTTCGGCTACATTGGCCCGCAGTTTCCGTTACGATGAGGACCTGGTTTTGGGTCAGTATCAGTATGCTGTTGCGCCCGGTGCCCGTGACTTCGGATATCTTCAAAGACTTAGCAACCTAATTAAACCCTAAACCCTAAATCGTTGCTTAGGTGTCAGACCGCTGAAATTGTTTAGTGTGGGCGGTCGCAAGTTCGGAACCCCTTCCAACACTGGAAGCCATGCTCAGGCCCCGCACCCCAAACCAAAAACGCAGCGTAGTTAAGGCTATAGGACTACATCGAGGGATCTTCTTTGATCTACGGTTTCGAGCTTGCAGTTGCTAGTATCGGCTTTATTTGTTTTGAGAGAAGTGGAAACAACACTTGCTGCATCCAAGAAGCACCGACGATCCTTGGTTAGGAAACGCCAGGCGAGGAGGCCAGCTCACTCAGGCTTATAAAAGTTATTTATGGGGCGGTTCGCGGTAAGACTGCTGGCTACCAAAGTCACACAGGCGGCAACTCTCTAAGACAGGAGCATTCAAACAAGGACCCTCCTTGTATAGGGGTATATGGCCCCAAATCATGGACATTCAGGGTCGAATAGAGGGTAGATGGAGGGTCTAGGAACACAACTGCGAACGGACCCTAAACCCTAACCAAAAGACACACCCTGCCGCCTTGTGACGCTCAAAGCAAAACGTGCCGAAGCACAGATGCAAATGCCGAATGACCCCTTGCACGCTCCTTACGGAGCTCTGAATGAATCTAGGCCGAAACCCCAAACCGAAGAACCCTTACAGATGTCGCATAGAACTCATCATGGGAAGCTACAGCTACTGGCTGCCTGTCACTCCATAATGTGGGTTTAGGATAGGGCTTGAGGCTTTGGGTTAGGGTCGAGGATTTAGGATTTGGGCTTCGGGTTCAGGAGCTGGTACAAAGGTTTGGAATTTGGGGGAACAGGCCACGAATGGCAGGCGAGGAAGCATTACAACTCGAAAAAAACGCCAACAAGTCGTGCTCGCCCTCGTACACATCCTCCTCTACTCAGAGGATCATGGGACTTAGAAAGTAGGGTTATAAGTAGGTTATAAATATATGGATAACCCCACTTAGGGGACTTATAACCCCAGTTATAAGCTACTTACTAAGTCCCATGATCCTTTAAGTATGCCCTGAACTCGAGACCGGAAACTTTGACGCAGACCCCTGATTGAGCAATCACACTGTTCAGCCTTTCGGGGGCAGGGTAATTTTCGTAAAGAGAGACCTCCACCTAAGAGATCCTGAGAGCTTATACGCCTATAATGTAGTATGCAGTGCGGCATAAACCTGTGCAAAGGAACCTCTCTCAAACCTTGATTAAAGCCAAAGCAGCTACTACAGAGATGAATACTACAGAGGTGCATAGGGTGAGAGAAACATTCATCCCTAAACCCTCCAAACCCTAAACTAAACCCTCTGAACCCTAAACCCTAGTACCTGTAAACCCTACCGAGAGGCTCATACCCTGCAGCATACCCTACCCTTTCTTAGGATAAATAGTTTTATGGTTAGGATCTGTTGTATAGAAAAGTAGATATCCAAAAAAGAGGGTAGAGTATGAGCCTGAAGGTAAACCCCAGACCCTAAACCAAAAACCCTTAAACCCTGAACCACTAAACCCTAAACCCTAAGCCCGTAAAACCCTTAAACCCTAAACCCCTAAACCACTAAACCCTAAGCCTAAGCCTAAGCCGCCGTCCTCTAATCTCTCGCCGCACCGCCGAGGCACACCCAGGACCAAGCCTTCGAATCCCCAAAAAGCCGGTCTGCCATCTGCCGGGCTCCTCTTGGAATTGTATACACCAGATGTTGTATATAGATAGTCTAGTTAGAGTCTATATCTATAGAAATTTGTGTATATATATATATATATGCACACACATCTTTCTTTCACAAGTGCAGTGGGCTTTCACTCCACAGGGCTAGATCTTGGAATGTGGTTTGGGGTTTAGGGCTTCGGGTTTAGAGCTTGCGTTTACGGTGATAGGTGCACTTCGATGGACGATGTGTGTCTGGGGTTCATGTAAGTTGAGCAAAGTGTCGGGTTGAGGGTTTTTCGGTCCCGGGCTTAGGTGTTTAGGCTTTAAGGCTCAAGTTGTCACTGTCTCTGATTTACCAACCTCCCATTCACGGTGGAATAGCCCGTTGTGGCTTCCATGCTTGAGGCCCGGTGTGAGTGCGGGGCTACATTGTATGTATGTATGTATGTATGTATGTATGTGTATGTGTAGGTGTATATGTATATGCATATGTATGTGTATATATATATATGTATGTGTATGTGCATATGTATATGTATATACATGTGTGTCACATGCGTGCATATACATTTCTATATATATATATACACTGTATACATGCATGTATGTGTGAGTCATTTATGATCTACATAACTATCTATCTCCCTATACATACATGTGTATCTCTCTCTCTCTCTCTCTCTTTATATATATATATATATATATGCATCCTTGTATATATGCACACACACACATGTGCATTATGTATATGGACGGAAAGCAGGAAGTATGCATTCATGTATGCACTTCTTGCATGTTTGTATGTGTGTATATATGTACCATGTATGTACTTATACATTATATATATATATGTATGTATATGTGTATATATATATATACATGTTACACATAGTACACACATGTGCGCACGTGTGTATATACACACGCACACAGCCGAACATAGCCATCAGTTTCAAACTTTTCGGCTGGCAGCTGCTCATGTTTGATGTTCGGGGACTGAGGGCGCAGGGATACGTGTTTCGGTCTTCAGGATAAACTTTTGAACTTGGGCAATTTCAGTTTAGGTTTGGGGTGGACAGAACTCACTGGAGTCTCAGACTTGCGCGCATCGAAGTCCGTAGCGCCCTCACAATGCTCAAACAATCAAAAACACGAAAGCGATTTGAAGCTGTGCGTTGTTCGTGAAAACTCCTTTCTGTGAAGTTTGTCTTTGCCTGCGTGCTTACAACTAACTGAAAATCCCGGAGGAATAATGCAAACCACATCTGAGCCCAACACAAACGCCCCGCAACAGACACTTGAGATCCAAGGTCTCAGCGGGGAAGAGCTTGAGCCTTGCACCCTACTTGGAGGTTCATGGGTAGTTATAAGTAGGGTTATAAGTAGGATAACTATACTTATAACCCATATTAGGGGACTCATAACCCCACATAAAACTACCCATGAACCTCCAAGTAAACATGCCACTCGTTCTAACCCGGGGCTCCCTCCACGCCCATCTTGCGCAGCTCATGCACATCTTGCAGGGTGGTCTCGTGGAAGAACGGGTCATTTCCACACGTGATCTCCTGGTGGCAGGTTTAAAACGGTGGAGGGGGGGTGGGTACTGGCCCACATACAGTAACAGTCTAGAATAGGGCTACGATTAATTTAAGGTCCTAATACATCTATATTATGAACATTATCCAACTGTTACTGAGTGGGGGCACTACCCAAGGGGGGTAGGGTTCAGAGTTCAGGGATTGGAGCTCAAGTGTTGAGATTTCGCTGCAGGACTTAGCGGTTTAGGGCGGCTTAAAATTTTAAATAATTATGGTGTGGAAGGTGTCAGCCCTTCCCACGATGCCGAGTTCGCTTAACCTAGATACCGAGATTAGCTTTCTCCGAAACTCCCGACAACCTCAGTCCTAAGCCCACTCCTTCAGCTTCTTCTCAAAGTGGTATTCCGGCTCCCGCTCGCGATTCTCTATGCGCTGAGCAGTCGCATCCAACACTTTGCCTGGGGTCCCATTCTTAAGTAAAGGTTTAGGGCTTTAGGGTTTTTAGGGGTTGGAGTTTCGAGCTTTGGGGTTTAGGGTATAGCGTTTTCGGGATACTAAAAAACAAAACCTGCAACCGTAGCTTCTAGACCAAAAGCCCTTGCAGCACCCTCTAACGGAATCCTCACAAGGGCACCCTACTCCACACTCTAAACCCTAATCATCCTAATCGCTTATTTAATGGGACCCTCAAACAGGCCATGTTTTGCTCTATAGACCCTAAACCCTTTGTACTTCGGCAACCCAGCTGCCAAAGCTCGACTCCGTGAAATTCGCAGGAAGGAACTGCAGGGAACCTTGATTCCCGCGCTTCAAAAGGGTGTAAGGCTCTGTAACACATCGAACCATACGAAAACTAGCATAAGGTGTCTAAAGACACCAATACCCGGAAGCAGGTCTGAAAGATTGGGTTTAAGGCCTACAGGTTTGGGGGCTTACGGTCCTTCTGCCTTTTCGACCCTGATTCGAAAACCCTGCAGGGCTTTAATGGCATTACTGGGCCTTGATAAGCATGGGGTTCGGGTCTACGAACGTTAGATTACAGATGCAGAGAGGAAACTTGGGGAATGGGTTCCAACTGCTCAAGCCCGTTTACCGCTTACTTGCTCATTTCACATGCCCCAAAAAAATCATAAACTTTCAGTTTGGGAACAGTCGTGAGGGTTTGCCTGACGGACAGGGGCTTCATGATCCAGGGTTTCCCTTGTAAGGGTCCAGGTACCTGCACATTACATGAGTTGAACCTAAGGCACCTACAAACGTAAGCCCTTTGAAGCCATATACATACATACATACTTACTTACTTACTTACATACAAACAAAATAGATATCACATATATGTGTGTTGACTATGTGCAATACATGGACCCAGATTCAGGAGGGCATCAAGGCTGGAATGAGCTCAGGAGACCTTTGTCACCAAAGTGCAGCAGAAACCGAACTTCAAAGGTAACTCACACACTTGTGGTTGAGGGTTTATGGTTTGGGGTGAAGAATTTCGGGCAAGGGGAGGTTCTGGGCAACAAATGAACGGCATGTACTATGGTTTTGATGATCGTATACAGGGCTCCTGTCTGAGTTACCGAGTGTATGTGGTTCTGGGAGCACGAGCAACGGGAACCGCATGAAATGAACAATCTCATCGACCATGAAGAACCCCGACCCATCACCTGTAGCCAGCCGAACATCACAGCAAGGAAACAGGGCTGAGCCGTGACATGTAATCACACCACGCAACCACCCTGAATCTATAGTCCCCAGATTTATACTTCTCGACACTGTTGAAGCCATTATCAACTGCATTCCCATGAATCCTGAAACTATACCGATACCATTGTACCCGCGTAAACCCTGATCTATTGGTCCTTTGCATAGGCCCTAACTCTTAACCTCTCCAAGTCCAAAATCCTAACCTACATAACCACATAATATCTGAAGACCAAATACCTAAATCTTGAGTTTTTTGGACTAATTAGACTAACCGCTTAAACTCGGCCATGGCTCAAAGACGCAGCGCCATCTCCAAGTTCTGAGCCGACGCGCCGCAGCGGCCGCTGATGAAGCGGGAGTACATCTCGAGAAGGGGAAGACCATAGTTTGGCTTAGGGCGGCGGCAGGTTTGCAGGTTTTAGGGTTGCGTTTGGGGCCTAGGGCTGAGGGGTTTGTTTTTTAGGATGTTTTGGGGATTAGACGCATCCTCCCTGTTCCCTCCCAAATGCACTCTACAGTGGGATTTCGTTTTCCTAAATGGTTGGTGTGTTGCCGGTTCGGTTCTAGGGAGTAGGTCGGCAGGGTTCCGATTTGGACGTTTCCGAAAATCGGGGGCCCTAATACAATACCCTAAATAGTACGATCCTTATTATAACGACCCAGAATAACGTACCCCTATGTTTGGAAACTCCCATTTGGTTGCCTCAGCAAATCCCCGCCTGAACGCCTGGCAACACCGAAGCGTTGGCATCGGCCAGGTACTCCTGCAGCTGAGCCTGTCGCACTTTGGGAGTTTCCGACAATAGCGGACTTCAATATAGTACCCTAAACAGTAGGATTCCTAGGACCCCAACATAAAGATTGATAGCTAGAGATACCTTGAAGGAAGCCTTAAACCCCTAATTTTCGGAAACTCCCATTATGCTTTCGGCTTTAGGAACCTTAGGGTTTACGGGGTTTGAGGTTTCGGGTGCAGGGCACCAGATTGGAAAGTGTTTCTCTGTATTTTGGCGAAGTGATGATGCTTGTGATGGCGAAGAGTGGCTCTTATGATCCTTCATCTGGGTGGTTGCCAAAACTATGGTCCCTGATTGGGTACCCTAAAGATTAGGTGCCGTATTATAATAAGGACCCAAAAAGGGACCATAATTTTTGACAACCACCCATTTGACACACAGCGACGAGGCGGACGACGAAAAACACCTTGCGATGACGGTGCTGCAGAGGGCGAGGACGAGGACGAGGACGAGGAGCAGGAGGACGACGGTGAAGCTCCCAAAGGGTCCAAATGTCATTCTGGTGTATACTTATAGGGTATTTTGGGGGTCTAAGTATATACCACAATGATATTTTGACCCTGTGGGACTCTCAGTAGTGATGATTCAGCGATGATCGTAATTTGAGCATGAGAGATGTGCCATGCTTGTGGGTCTCAGGTTGGGCAGCGGCTGCCATGTGAGCGGGAGGCGAATCGTTCTTGAACCAGCTGGATGCCTGCGCACAAGCACATACTGCTTCTTTTTAATTCGAGCAGATCCGTGCCTCAAATCAATGCTGGCAGCGGACGGGTGCACTCGGTTTTTTTCTGATTTCAGCTCCGTTTGTCTGCGTGCCGTCTGTGTTATCAAAAAAGAACTGCTTACAAAATCTTCGTTTTATGATGATAAAGTCACAACTCAATCGTTTGATGTTTGCCAAATATGCTCCAGTCATGAAGAACGAACTCTCGGGATTCTGTGAGGGCTGTGAAATCTCTTCCTGTATCAGACGTCAAAAAGGAAATTAATTTCTAAAGTCACTCAAGGATTTTGTTATTTAAACCCGCGGGTAAATTCCATGTGATAAATTCTATTTGGATATTCTTCGACGGAGCCCAAAACACAGTTGTCAGATGAATTTTTCAATCCTGATCAAAAGTTGCTCAAATTCTCTGATCAAAAGCCAATAGCTACCCAGATGAGCTCCAAATTCATGATAATCGAACAACGTCGTCTAGATAGAAGATAGACGACCTCTGCTACTTTCTGAGCAGAATTATATACCTCGGATATTATTCGACAGAATATCATCTCACTTCCTAATTTTCTGGATCGTTTCCCATATTCGTCATAATGATTCACGCATCCCACTTTTCTAACCAAACGCCAGCAGCTATCAAAATCAATTGCATCCTCAGGAAGAGACGCCACTCAGTAAAGCGCCATCCTGCAAAGAAGCGTGGCTACGCACGCGCCAGCACGAAGACGGCGCCTCTGTTCCAACTCCTGAAAGCACGCAGTATTTGCATAAATCGTTTACCAGGATAGCATCTGGCCCGGACAACCTAGCCTCCTTGAGCTTGCCACACTTGCCCTGCCACTGCTGGACCGTCATGCCGGACTTGTGGACAAGGTACAAGGCCAGCTCATCCAGCAGGAGTGTTTGCCCGACCTGCAGACTGCGCATTTAGAAAGAGGCCATCGCCGTTGCCATAATCAGCAGACACAGCAACACACACACAAGGAAGCAAGAGAGAAAGAACACACAGAGATAGAGAGAGACAGACAGAGAAAGAAAGAGAAAGGAAAAGTCAGAAACACCAAGAAGAAAAACCCGCCTCCGTTCATTCTGAGTCATCATCTCCAGCACATGCGGGGCGGCGTCTGGTCCCAGCACGATCCGATTGACTGGGAACCAAACCTTGCCCCAGGCGCCCGGAAAGCCCAAGTCGTCAATCACACTCTCCTTCGCAACAGACACGAAAGAGCATCGACAACGCCAAGCTTCCAACGCTACTCAGATTTTGCTTGCGCGCCCAGCGTCCAATCGCCTTTCTGTCTCCTCTTTGCTGAACACCAAGCCGCTGATGTCGAACTTGCCGTTGAATGTCTCTTCAGCCTCGCCCAAGCACGAATCAGACGCCGCAAGCCAACCGCCCCATTGCCGCTAAAACAACCAAGCCGGGGCCCGTGCAATATGAACCAAGAAGACATCAACATCGTTGGGCAGGCCCAGCTCGCGCTCCAGAGATTTGCAGGGGGACAAGTACCACTCCACTGGACCCAAACTGCCGCCTCGAACTGCTGAGCTAACAAACCCGAAAAATTGTAAACTTTGGCTTCGAGGCCTGAACCTTAAACCCAAGGAACGAACAAGAGGTGCCATCGTATCATCGGCTGAGATCTTATGACTGACTTCATGTGTCTGTCGCTGAGTTTTTCGCAAAGGAGCACTAAGTAGGGAAGAGACTCAGGCACCGGTGTCAGGGTTGAAGTTGCAGTCTTTCGCATTCAGGACCCGTTTCAGAGTTTGCGTTTAAGAGTTTAAGCGATTGAGCTATAGCTTCGAGGCCGGAGGGTGGATTAAATTTAGTCGACTTCGGCTGAGGGAGGTATACCCATAGGCCACAAAGTAGTTCCTTTTGCGGGTTCATATGTAGAATCCTATAAGGTAATCCCAAAAAGGAACTACTCTGGGGCCTACGGGTAACCCCTAATGCTGAGGGCGTCAATACCTGGGGTGTTCACATGTGCGGCTTCGCCGTAAGAGGTCGGCCCGGACTTAACGCGCACAGCTCCAAACCCTGTATACCCAATCTTTAAACATTTTCAAGTCCTATCAGGCCCTGTCAAATGCACAGAGACACACACCGACACACACACACACACACCCACACACTGACACACACCCACACACTGACACAACAAACCAAGAAAGCTCCGGACCCTTGCCCCCTGTCCGACGGAGTGTGTGCCTTCGTCATGCTCCCCAAGCCGTCCATGACCCTTCGGGGGTTCGGGAATGCAGCAAGGTTTGATAAGTTCAGTAAAGGCGAATACAGGATTTCGGGGCCAGCGTAGGGCTTAGGGTAGCATTCAATATAGGGTTTAGCAGCTTAGCCACTGCGATATGAAAGGTGGAGATTGAAATCCAAAGCCTTGAAGTCCATCTCGATTTCGCCTGAAGCCTCCACAACACCTGAACCTCTACCCCCAAACTGCAAAACAAATGCACCCGGGAGCACTGGAGCCCAAGCTTAAACTGACCTCTGAGACACCCTAAACCGCACACCCTAACTCGTGCCCCAGACTGCCTCGACCAAAAAACCTTTGAATCGCGCACTACGCCAAAACCCGTCTAAACGCTCCAACCTAACACCTGAAACTACCCAAAGGCCCCAAAGTAGCTCCTTTTTCGGGTTCAGATATAGAATCCTTTAAGGTAATCCCCTAAAAAGGAACTACTATGGGGCCTCTGGGTGCGGCCAACGACTCCACCGAACCCGAAACCTCAGAGCCCTAAAGCAACCAAAGACTCCCAAACCCTTTGATGAAGGAATATGCCTTGAACCATATATATATATATATATATATATATATATATACACATAATATATATATATATATATATATATATATATTCTGAGCGGCTGAGTTCATAAGCCCCCCAAAAGTGTACACTTTCAGTTTTATATTTATAGTGGTTAATATTATCCCAAAAAGTGTAGAGTGTATCCACTCAGCTACTCAGTATTCAGGATCCCCCTATACCGAAACTGGACAACCTGCAGATTTAGGGACAGATTTGAGGCTTCTCATTGTATATAACCTTCCCTTGTAGAATTCCTCAAACAGGTAGGCTATGTCGGGTATAGTTGAGATACGTTTTGCAGTCTCCGGGCACCTCAAGGCGTTCATGCTGGCGCAGGAGGCGCGCAGCGCTGCGCTTCCCAGCTCGCTGAGTCCACAGGGGAGGATCCCCTGGATGAGTATCCTGGGCGATTTACTTGAAGGGGCAAGGGACTTGGTACGTCGCTTATAAGTAGGTGGGTAACTCCATATAGGGTACGTATAACTCTACTTATAACCACTTACTAAGTCCCGTGGCCCATCCAAGTAGGGCTTTGGGTATTTAGGGTTCAAAAGTCTTGCGGTTTAGGGTGTGAGGGCTAATTAAAGAGGGTCTGGATGAGTATCTGGGCTTGAACAATCGCATTGAGGAGGTTCTCAGTGAATTTCCAAGAGCAGGTTTCGGGTTTGGGTGTTTACAGGGATTTAACCAGGTTTCGCTGCAGTAGTGGTCTCAGAGGGTTTAGTTCAGGCATTCGCGGCTGATGTAGGGTTCTTACAGCTTAAAGGCTTTAGAATGCATTCAGGGTTTGGGGTTTGGTAGTCGTGCGCCGCTGATGTAATTAGGGTTCTTACAGCTTTATACTTCAAGGTTCAGGGTTAGGAGGAGTCATCGTTCGAACAGATGTGAAGCATCCAAGGAAACTTCTGACGTTTTTGGAGGAACATAGAATATACTGATGTCAACTGAGAAATTTCTGTCTCAACTCGACAAAACCTACAACCTACACCTGTCGGCTCTGAACCTAACCCCAGTAAACCCAATAAGCCCTCTAAAACCCTCAAACGCCCGAGAAGAAGAGAGAGAAAAATCGATGGGCAAAGCCCCAGAGGCTCATCTGGCTCAAAGTCCGTGCGCAGCCAGGTGACCTGCAGGGGTAGGGCCACGGTCGATGGTGAACCCCAGAAAGTTGGAACATGGACCAGGGATGATTAGTGATAGGGTTCCTTATACGATACCTTATTCCTTAAAACTACCAAACCGCACTTTTTTGTGGGTTCTTCTTGTAAACCCTAATATGGATTTCATAGGGATCCTACAAAAAAGTAGGTTTGGGTAGGCTAATGTTGGTATGAGGATAGTCAGTTCCAACGTTCTGGCTTCTACTGTATTGTAGGACTTTCATGAAGAAGCCCTGGGCCTTGGGCCTTTGTCAGGGCTCCTTTTAGGAACTCTACTATTTTGTGGGGTTCGAGGCCCTGGGTTCCTTAAACAGGTTCCTGCATTATGGGTTTAGGGTTATTGGCCTGGGGTTAAGGGTTTAGGGTTTAGGGGTTTAGGGTCATTGGCCTGGGGTTTGGGGTTTCGGGCTAGGGGTTTAGGGTGATGGGTCAAGGGTTGGGGGTCAGGGTCATTTGTTAAGGATTCAGGGGCTTTTGGGTTGACTTATCCTCAACACCGAATTCGCCAGAAGTAGGTACACGAAAGGCACCGGCGCTTGCCCCCGAATCTAGCCACGGCAGAAAGCTGTTTTCTGTTGGTGGTTGATGGAAACGTGGAACTTCACAGCTTTGCTGGCTGACTCCAACCCTGGCCCTTTGACCCTAAACTTCCGAATCGAGACCGGCAATGAGCAGCCAAGGCGCCGTGGATCCCGAAGCAGTGACCCAATGTTGGGCCGAAAACTGGGACAAGCTGTGGGTCTCGATGATGGGGTTTGGCTCCCCCATCTCATCCTTCTGGGTTGACGCTTCAGGGTTTAGGTTTTAGGGTTAAGCTTAAGGTTCATTTTTTAGGGCTTTAGGGTTTTAGGGTGTAGGGTTTTAGGGTTCAGGTTGAGGTGAGGGCTTAGGGCTTAGGGTTTGAGGGCTTTAGGGCTTTGGGGCTTAGGGTTTTAGGTTTTGGGGTTTCGGGTTCAGGGGGGTTTAGGACAGTACTGGGGGCCTCACGAATAGGATAGGGTTTGGGCTATGTTACTATAATACTATGCTTAGCATATGGATCCGGGAGTGTTCAGGCCCCGATATTGGATTTCGGGCGGCTCGGGACTCTGTGTTGTCTCTCATTGTGTCTTGAAGTTTGGAGCTTCTTGCCCAAGACTAAACACTCGTTCACCAAACTTCTTCTTTATGAGTCTCCCCAAAGGCTTGTTATAATTGAGGCCTTTGCAATACACCTTTATAGAACACCATTCAAGACACCCTACAACCATTTTATAACATCTCGTTAAACCAAAACAACATGAAAGTCTGTAGAGCATTTTAGAGCACGTACCGTATTAATGTCATCCTGCACGGCTGTATGCACGGCAGAAGCCCCTGTAATCCCTAAAGCCCTAAACTCAATGTCATTCGGGTCATCCTGCGCGGCATTAGGATCCAGCAGCTCACCCGGCAGCCAAGCAAAGGGGGGCAGCTCTTTGCGAGCCGCAAACTGCTCAATGGCCTGTGATTTTTTCGGTGCTAGCGCCTCAAGGTTTCGGGCTATGATCAAAGGGGAAAAGGAGGGACCCTTAATGGGGACCCCTACCCTATTGTGGGCTATATCATGGGTATATCATAGCTATATTAAGGGTAAAAACACCTGGGGGTCCTTATTGAGGGTCCCTCCTTTTACCCTTGGATACGAGCTTTAGTCTCCTACTAGGCTATTATACTAATTACTTTACTACTATAAATACAATGTGGGTGGTTGTCAAAATTAGGGTCCCTATTTGGGTCCTTATTATGATACGACACCGATTTTTTAGGGTACCCAAGAAGGGACCCTAATTTTGACAACCACCCATGTAGCATTTGGGACCTATATCTAAGTTTCTGGAGTTGGAGGTTTTTGGATGTAGGTTTATGCGTGTATGATCGCATCCATAAGCTTTATCCCAAGCCCTAAGTGGCTCTAAATCCCAAAGCACCCAAGCCTACCCCAACCCGGAATGCCACTTCATGATACCTAAGTGATAGTTTTTTTAAATTTAGGGTTTATAAGGTCCCGCCACGACTATTCCCCATCGTCCCTGTCCCAATGCTGATTAAAGCACCTATGATGCCGTGAGTAAAGGCCCATAAATGCTACACTCCCAGACCTTATAGACCCCAGACCCTGTAAACCCTAGTTAACTAAAACCCAGGAGCCCAAACCGTAAATGCGGGACCCTAGACTCTACACCTTAAATCGCTGAGTTATAACGGTTTAGGGTGTATAGGCTATTTTCAACAGTTTGTGGCACCCAGAAAGGCAAGGCCCGTGCCTGTCGTAGGTCGCTGGGCGTGACCTCGGGCTCCAGCTCTGCGCTGTCATCGCCGGCCATTTCGGCCTCACAGAATTGTCCATGACATTTCTTTGAAAGGGAGGGCAGAAGGGGGGGGGGGGGGGCGGGGCTTACAGCCTTAAGCCCTAAACCCTAAACCTTAAACCCACAAGTCTTGGGGTTCAGGGATTTCCAAATAAGGAACTACCTGAAGGACCAAATGATCCTTAAAAGTAGGGGCCCTATACCCATATACTATGAAACCCTATATGGTATATGAACCTTAAACCCTTTTAGGGTTCATTTCGTCCTTCAGGTAAAGCTCATGAGTTTCCCCGTGCTTTACCTTCAGGGAACTAGGTGTCGATTTCAACACTCACGGAAATGATTCATAATTCGGGCTCTATAAGCATCATCCGAAATCGAGACCTATGTGTATGTGTATATATATATATAGATACTATAGATCTTGATGTTCAAACTTTAGGCGTCTTGTGTAAAGCCCCGCCTCTATCGACCATCGGCCGGCTGCGAGATCGAAGAGTTGAGAGGCAACTCGATTCAGCTTCGGATCCGCCAAGGAGCCCTTGGCCAAAAGCTGCAAAGCCTCCAGCGTCGTTTAGGGCTTAAGGGTTTGGGGCTTAGGGTTTAAGGGTTATGGGTTTAGGGTTTAAGGGTTTAGGGCTTAGGCTTTAAGAGTTATGGGTTTAGGATTCAGGGTTTAGGGTCCAGTCCCCCCGGAGGCTCACGTATAAGGCTTTAGGGTTCAGGTATAAGGACCCTAGATCTCTGAAGCCCTAAACCACTCAAACCCCGAACCCTGATAGTAGCCGTAGAGAACCACTGCAATGCCCGAGCCCTTCAAATCATGAACTGTTTAATTTGTGTGTGTGTGTGTTTCTAGGTGTTTGAACTCCTTGTCCCTTTTGCTCCAAGCTCTCCCTGTTTGGTTTAGGGTTTAGGGTATAGGGTTTGGGCTTCAGGGTTCAGGTCCTTGTACTTGTCATCCCTTCGGATATTCGTATAGCTGGATGCCAAACAAGACCTTGCTTGCCAATACTTACCTTTGGTTAGTAGGGAAGTGAAGAATGGTAGTAATAGTAGTTATAAATTATAATCATGGTACCCCATTCATCCATTCCCTGCTCACCAAAGGTAAGAATAGCACGCGAAGCAGGACCTTGCCACTGGAAGCACTTCTCCCAGCCCCGATAGCTATGCGGAGCAGGGCCCTGGAATAGTTTCACATGAAACACGCAGTCCCCAACGGCTCGATGCTTGCACAGAAAACAAGCAGAAGCTATAATATCGAAAAGCAGAGAGCAAGGAGAAACAACAAGAAGCCGAGAACGAAGCAGGAACGTCACACCCAAACACAACAGACCTTACGAATTGAAAAGGTGTTTCGGGGTATAGTATGGTACCAGTAAAAACCTCCAAAGAACAATAGTGATAATTGTTCAGGCCCCGGTGCCAAACCCTCAGAAACCCGAACCTCCCGCGCCTCATGCTGAAGGCGCACGTCCATGCAATCCGAGCACAGGCGTGTCTGCTCCCCAGAGAGAACGAAGTCCTCGGCGCATTCTAAGACGTCTTCGGAGTCGACGTGGTGCCTCACAGCACATCCCGGCTCGGGGCTTAGGCTTGCGGGGGGTTGGGGTGTAGGGCATCATTTAAGCTAGGAGTACTCCTGAACAGGAACAAGCAAGCTCTTTGAGTTAATTGCCGGATCGTAGCTCAGCTGGTATCATGCAAACGGTAACAGAGTTGAGGATGCAGCGCTCCGTTCTGACATATGACGTAATGTACGTTATCAGAGTGCTGGGCTTCGACGTACCCTCTAAACGCCAAAGCCCTACAACTGCAAAGGCCTCAACCCCAAAACCCTAAACCCCTCAAACCCCGAAGCCCTCAACTCCACACCCAACCCTCAACCGCTAAAGCTTTGACCCCCTAAACTCCACACCCAACCCTAAACCCCTGAAGCCCCGAATCCCTAAACTCCACGCCCAACCCCAAATCCTAAGCCTTGAAACCCCAAAATGCCAAAACCTTTAAGGATCCCTTAAAGGAACCCCAAACCCTTTAGAGATCCCTTAAAGGAACCCCCCAAACCCTTTAAGGATCCCTTAAAGGAACCCCCAAAACCCTTTAAGGATCCCTTAAAGGAACCCCAAAATGCCCAGACCTTCCAAAATCCCTTAATTAAGGAATATACCTTAAATTATGATAGTATCCCAAATATGAATTAAGGTATATTCCTTAATTAAGGGACTTTGGAACCCCCCAAAATGCAAACCTGGCCTCTCAGCCCAGACAGAGTCCAAGGCCGTACAGTGGAACTTCCTTGTCAGCTCCATCTCGCGCTCGCTTAGGCCATGCCCTTGGTTGAGAAGGGTTTTTTTTTCTTTTAAGCACCTTTTTCCGCCTGCCTATCTGAGAAGGGTTTAGGGTTTAGGGTTTAGTGATCTTGCGGGTTAGGGTTTAGGGGTTTAGGGTTTAGGGTTTAGTGATCTTGTGGGTTAGGGTCTAGGGGTTTAGGGTTTAGGGTTTAGGGGTTTAGGGTTTCTTAGCTTTGGTTAGTAGGGAATGGAGGAATGGGGTACAATTATAACTACTATTTCTGGGCTTACCCGGACCCCAAAAATGTGTAGAATAATAGCCTTTTATAGGTTTTGGGCGATTATTTTACTTACTTTTGAGGGTTTAGGGTTTAGTGATCTTGTGGGTATAGGGGCTTAGGCCATGTTCTTGGTTAAACAGGTGTTTGGGATGCAGGGGTTTAGGATTCAGGTGTTTAAAGCTTGGGCTTTGGGGTGTAAGCTGCTTACAGCTCTTATACCAAACAAAGCCGTACCGATGTCCTGATTGCATGATGTTATGGGGGTATGCAGGGCATCGTAGGGCGCAGCGGGAGTTTTATCTTAAAAATGCGAAACCCGGAGAAAGTACTTGTCGGGTATTACTTCTACAAGTCCTGAAGGCAGATCTTGAACCCGGAATTCGAAGCCCACTTTGGGGTTTGAGCGTAGATTCTCTTATAGTACCCTTGTCGCACCCTTACACTAGCCCTTATAGTAACCCTGATAGCACCGACCATGCCCTCACAGCAGCCTGATAGCAACTAACCCTAAACCCTAAACCCTACCTATAGTCTCCATTGTCGTTCCTGTTTGGGTTGGCTTATAGGATCCTAATCATATAATTGGTTAAACCAATATAAGGAACCACAATGAAGACTATATATAGGTAAGCCCCTATTATCGTGGCCACGACTCGCGCCAGGCTTGCAAGGACCTCTCCAAGTGACTCAGCGGCCTTCTACAGGGACTTCCCAGCCCCGAAACAAAGGTCAGCACAAGGCTTTAGTGTTAGGGCTTTGCCTTGAGGTTTTACGGCTGGGGATCTTCGGGTGTGGGGTTACAGTAGGGGTTTAGGGCTTAGGGCTTTGATGGTTTAGGGTTTGGGGTTTTGTAGGGTTTAGGGCTTCAGGGTTTAAGGTTAAGGGTTTCGCGTTGCGGGGCTGCAAGCGTTGGGCATTGGGCTTTTCGGCGGGCTTGAATTTCAAGGCCTCATGGGTGGTCCGCGGTTTAGCAGTTGTGGGGTCCAGAGTCTACGGTTTAGGCAGATTTCTTGTGCTTTAAATACTCATTTGTTCAAACCAGACTACCGTGACCAACCCTGATTCCCGAAACCATGAACCTTGAATTCATATTCACAAGTTCTGACCTCCGAAGTTCCCAGACTAAAGACTACAAAGCTCTAAACCCTGAGTGAAACCCTACTCTTGCAGTACAGGGTCGGAGGAAGTACTTCTACTGTTCCTTATTTGCCTCTTTGAAATCAAAAGAAAACATGCCCTGAAACCCTCCTACTACGGATCCTGCACCCTGAACCCTAAAACTCTCAACCCTAAGCCCCCTTATAAGAGCCTTCAGGATGTCTCCTTTCAGCACATTCGCAGATATCGCTACGCAAACACACGTCTGCGTGATATGCTCCTCGTTTCGGACGTTCATAGGACTTTGGAAGGTTTGTGAATGGGGTTCACGACGGGTATGTTCCGGGATGTGTCACGGAGGTTTTCCAGGATGCTGATGGTGATAATGCCCTGGCAAAGCCCTCAGAGGGCCCTTATCAAATGCTTTAAATCTCGCATAAAGAACCTTTCTGCATAATACGCTCTAGAAAAAAGAGCCCTTACAAAAAACATCATAGAAAGCAATGGGACGATTGTAGAATTCCTCACTCCTCGTTGGCCGCAGCGGAGAGGAAGGGCGCGTTGGGCCGCAGTTGAAGAGCGGAAAGACGCCGATTCAGCGCCATGAGAAGAAGGTCTCGCGACATATCGCCTTCAAGAAGGATTTAGGGTCTCGGGTATTTAGGGTTTAGGGTGTATAGGGAACGGTGCCTGGTATACCGGGGCCAGGCAAAGTATATACTGTACTGTATGTGCATGGACACTTAGAATGGCTTGGTTTAAGAGTTTATCAGTTTATAAGGCTTGGGATTTAGGGGTGTAGGGTTTGAGGAACTGGGATCTACAGGGTGAATATACTACTTGACGACTCGGGTCTGAAGGTTTAAGAGTTGAGGACAGGGCTTCAGGTTTTTGGGCTTAAGTAGTATAAGGCCGTAATAACTGGAATATGGTCTTAGGGCCCATTGTACTATATAACTCAAATATGGAATCACCAAAATAGTATTGGTAATGATTTTTTGGTACTGCTTAGACCCCTATGTCAGGATTCGTAAGGTTTGAGGTTTAGGCTGTTCGGGTTTGGGTGTTTCACAGCATGCCATGGCACCGACCATCTCCGGCAGAGTTCGCCGGGTCGTTTCTTCGAAGAAAAAGCGAAGGCGAAGCACATAGCTGGAAAGCTCCTGCTCTGCCTTAAGGGTTCCTTTCAGGGTTCCGTTAAGTGGGCACCTTTAGGTGTTCCTGCAAGGGCTAGTTCAAGTGCTCCCTCCAGGGTTCGTATGAGGGTTTTGTAAGGTTTGTTTCAGGTTAGATTTTTCTTTTACAGGCTTCTGTAGATCTCTATCCCTAAACCCTAAAAACCCTGACCCCCAAACCCTAAACCTCTGAACCCTAAAGAATCCAAAGGAACCCTAAGGAATGATCAAGGAATCCTAAAAAATCCCTATGATCTTGTAGAACCGTTCGCAGCACCCCATAAAGCCGTAAGAAGCCCTAAAAAGGCCTCGGTTCGCGGAGGCCAGTTTTGTGGGTTTATAATTAGGGGATCATGGGACTTAGTAAGTAGGTTATAACTGGGGTTATAAGTCCCCTAAGTGGGGTTATCCTAATAATAGCCTACTTATAACCCTACTTACTAAGTCCCATGATCCTTTAAGTAGACCCTAAACCCTAAACCCTATAGATCCCTTTAAGGAACCCCTATAGATCCCTTTTAAGGAGCCCTTTAAGAAACCCTACTTACCAAGTCCCATGATCCTCCAAGCAGGGTTTAGGAGTATAGGGTTTAGGAGTTTGGAGCTTAGGGAGTTTTTAGGGTTTAGGAGTTTAGGGCTTAAGGTTTAGGAGCTTAGGGCTTAGGGTTTTCGGGGCTTAGGGTTAGGGAGTTTAGGGCTTAGGGTTTAGGAGTTTAGGGCTTAAGGTTTAGGAGCTTAGGGCTTAGGGTTTTCGGGGCTTAGGGTTAGGGAGTTTAGGGCTTAGGGTTTAGGAGTTTAGGGCTTAAGGTTTAGGAGCTTAGGGCTTAGGGTTTTCGGGGCTTAGGGTTAGGGAGTTTAGGGCTTAGGGTTTAGGAGTTTAGGGCTTAGGGTTTAGGAGTTTAGGGTTTAGGGTTTTGGAGTTTAGGGCTTAGGGTTTGGAGTTTAGGGTTTAGGGTTTAGGAGTTTAGGGCTTAGGGTTTATGAGTTTAGGGTTTAGGAGTTTAGGGCTTCGGGTTTAGCAGTTAGGGCCTAAGCTCACAGAAGGCTAACTCCAAACCTTCTGGACAGCAAGCTGGGCTGGAACCCTAAATCCCCTGAACCCATTTCCTTCCAACCTACTGGACTGGAGGCTCCTTGTTGAGGGAACCCCAATATCATCTAGATACTCCCTGCCACGCCAAAAGCTGCCAAAACTCTGGGAAATCCTAAACCCCCATATTCCGAAAGGCGACCCAAACCCCAGTGAAATGCTCCTCAGCCCTCCTTGGCGGCACCACAGTACTGCATAAGGGGCCGCGACCTAAACCCTGAAACCCTTGACCCTGCGGAAAACCCAAACTTCTCCTGGTCCCGATAGACCACCGCCGCCCTTGGGTGAGCAGAGAGTGGTGGAGGTGTCCATTGCGGCTCCGCGTCCTTTTTCACGGGGGCTTAATGGCTTTCGGGTCTAGGTTGAGGGCTTGGGGGGGTGAAGCTCTGCGGAGTTGCAGCAGGAACGGTTTAGGGTTTAGGGTTTGGGGTTTAGGGTGGTGATTCAGGAATAGAAATGCGAGTTTCCGAATATTAGGGGTACCTTCGTTTTGGATAATAAGGATCCTACTATTAAGGGTACTATATTAGGGTCCCCTATTTTAGGGAACCCCCCAAGTGGCCGCACTTTGGGATTCGTCCTGCTCGCCTCAGTCCTTCATACGAAACGTCACCCGGCTCAGGGTTCGGGACGCTCTCCGATCGTTTCTGCAACCGGGCCCAAGCTTTCTTTCCAAGAGGGTCCACATAATATCTATATCTATATCTACATCTATATATATATATATATATATATATATAGTTGTGTGTATATATTTTGATATACACTGCTACTATGGAACTATGGTCCCCAAAACCATTGTTGGATGGTCTTTCGGGACGGCATTCCATATTGGTTGTGAAAATGGACCCTCTGGATAGCAGTCTCTTAGCCTGGAAACGCCGTGCTGTCCCCCTCGTATCATCGAACCACGTTCCTCGTAAAAGAGCTTACGACTTGATCGTCTGGGCTGTTAAGTTGGAGAGCATTTAAGCATGCAAGCTCGCAGAGCCACTACAGTATCGGAGCCTCAAAGATAAGAGTAATAAGATTTTCGCTATGTTATCATATACAAACAAACATGTGCGTAAATGTGTGTGTAAATATAAAAACAAACATGTTACATCATACTGTACAAAGGGACGCTGCCAAGCTGTAAAACTACAACGTATGTAGGGCCTACATTTCTTGGGAATCTCAGCTTCCAACAAACCAAGCAATGACTCGCATGCGACGGTCGAAAGTACTCCAAACCCGAGCTACAGGGCCGAGAAAGCACCTACTTGGAGGAGCAGGCGACTTAGTAAGTAGGTTATAAGTAGAGTTATAAGTACCCCAAATGGAATTTCACCCAATTGTAACCCTACTATCAACGACTTACTAAGTCCCCTGCCCCTCCCAGTAAGCAGCCAAATGCCGAGTTGAGCCCCAGCCTTTGTACTCTGCCATCTCCAACCCTTAGCCTCTAAACCCCAAACCTTTATTAGTACAATCCAACAGCCCTTTCTTGCAAAACAGCACCTTGGTCGGCTTGACGTCGGCAAAGGCCTCATCATGATATCTTCACAGAGGGTGCACTTTGAAAAGGGTCTTCGTCTACATGCGCAGTTCTCTTCAAATCAGGGATCCCTTTTTAGGGGTCTTTCGGTGGGGATGCTGTGCAATTCGGGAACAAAAAACGGACCCGAATCTATACAACTACCCACAACAGCAGTGGTACACATGACCTGAACGAAAAACTCTGTAAGTAAACCCGAAAGCTGTGATGCTCGAAGCTTTTGGCCCCAAGCCCTGGAGCCTAGGGTCTCAGGTATGAACACCGTGTATGCACTATACTGCTTTGATCTTTTTCATCCTGAAATTCCCGCGCCTTCTCAATCAGCGCCTTTGCCACAGTATTGCTCCCGAAGTCACCGATGCAGAGGATGGTCATCTGCTGTGGTCGGTACCACCTGCCACACCAAGCGTATTCGTGAGAGCAAACCATGACACCAAGCTTCTGGAGTTCTCGGGAGTTTTGCAAGCAATATACGGCTCAGGCCCCATACGCCGACATGTACTACGATTGAACTGTCTCCGGTCCCAACACATGCTGCCAGAGCGGCATTGACTCTCTAAGCACAACACCCCACCTCCCCACCTGCTCACCCAAATAATGCAAACGCCACAACATACCCTAAGGGTCCATGTACCCATATAGCACATACTTTGGGCCCAATGTAGCGATATAGGGAGTACTTTAAGGCCAATGTATATACTATATGAGTACGTGGACCCTTAGGGATAGCCAGTAAAAGAAGACCCTCATGGGACATGAACAGCAGAAGCACGACCGATGGTTCAGGATTCAGAGCTGCTGGCGTTCCAACCCTAAACCCTCTCAAACCCTACACCCCGAACCCTAAAACCCTAAACCCTAGACTTCTAAACCCTAAGCCCTAAACTTCTAAACCCTAAACCCTAAACTTCTAAACCCTAAACCCTAAACTTCTAAACCCCAAACCCTAAACTTCTAAACCCTAAACCTCAAACCCTACAACCTTAACCTTGAACCCTAAGCCTCGCCCCCAAACCCACGGCCTCGTGTAGAAGGCACGCAAGCGCTCATCGGGGCAGCTGCGCAGGGTCTCCATCTTTCCGATGGGCAGACGCTGGCTGTGAAGAGTTCCAGCGAAAACCTGTGTCAAAAGGGGGGGGGGGTTAAGGGTTTAGGATTCAGGGTTTAGGGTTAATTAAGGGTTTAGGGGTTGAGGGTAGCCTGGCAGGTGGGAAGCCGGCAACTATATGAATAATGTTTGTGACATGGGGATATAATAGGGGATCTATGTCTTCCTGGTTTTACACCTAAACTGCCATGGGTGTCGATTTCAACAGTCCCCAAAATTCTGTAAAATTGGGCTCTATATTCAGCAACAAGGGAAACAAAACATTATCCCAAATCGGTTGGTATAGAAATAGTAGACCCCCACACCTCGGCCCAGAACTTATCCTCCACGCGCTGCTCGACGCCCAAACGGCCCCTCCACTCCTCCTCGACGACCTCGGGTCGGGTTGGAAGACTCTTCCAGAAAAGCGCGAAGGACCCAGAAAGCCCAATACTTTTCAAGATAATCCCTATAGTGGGCTATATGATGGGTATATCATAGCTATATTAAGGGTACCTAGGGGTCCTTATTAAGGGTCCCTCCTTTTACCCCTGGATTAAAGGGTATCTTGGCGGACTTCTGAACCCCTCCTAAAAGTTAAACTTTTAGCATCCTTATCATAGTTCATACAGAAACCCGAACAGTTAAAGTCTAAAGAGCCAACCAAAAGAACGCCAAGTCAACTTTTGAGGGCCCGAGGATGATGTACGGTCTATTCCTGAAGGGTGTTGGGCTTCCCAGACCTTCAAAAATCCCTTAATTAAGGAATATACCTTAATTCATATTTGGGATCCTATTACAATTTAAGCTATCTTCCTTATTTAAGGGATTTTGGAAGGTCTGGCTTTCTGGGACTCATACTTCAAGGCATCTGAGCCCTAAGCCCTGACTGTCTATAGACTATCTTGACCGTCGTAACAATACCCCCCTCCTGGTACACCCAAAAGAACCATTTCACCAACTATTTATAGCGCTTCCTAGGTTGAACCCTAAACCCTGTGAAGGTCAAGGGCAGCTTCTGCTACAAGTTCCGCTCCAACAGTAATTTTCTCAACAGCTGCAAAGCATCGAAAGTAACGCCTCGTTCCGAAAGTAAACTCTAAACCCCAAAGCCTCGAAAGTAAACGACATGCAGGAGGCAACAAGTTTGCCCCCGTTTACCTTTCTGCGAACCTTACCTGCTGAAGACCGGCAAGAATCAGCCTTTTATGAAGCACTTATAAGCACCTGCAGTAATCCCAAACCCAATGAGCTAAGTATGCATACCTATACTGCCTTAATTCCTACTGCCCAAGCCCGAAAGCCTGCCGCCCTGTACTACAAGACCGTAAACCATAATCCGTAAGACGTAATCCCTGAACCCCGACCTCTACAGTAGCCTGCAAGCCTTAAACCCTGAAGCCTAAACTCTAGCCTTACCCCCGCAACCCCCAAAATCCTGAACTTAAACCCCAACAGCGGAATCCTGAAACTTCAAAACCCTTATCAGGCAGCAGACCCCTTTCTCTTTCTGAATGTCTTCGGACCGCAAAAGCGCGTCGAAGGCAAACTCCTCTGACAGGGATGATGATGCTTTAGGGTTTACCCTAAGGCTCCATAGTAGTTCCTTTTCGGGGGCTCATATTTAGAATTCTATAAGGTAATCCCCAAAAAGGAACTACTATGGAGCCTTACGGTTCAAAGGGTTTAGGGTTTAGGGTGCAGGGTGTAGTGCAACATCGGTTTTGGGATTTCGGCTTAGGGCCTCTTAGGGGTGTAGGGCTTGGGAACCGCGAGCCCTGCACCCCTGAACTCGAAACCCCTAAACCCCAACCCCCCCCCCCCCCCCCCCCCCAATATTCCCTAAATCCAGCAGAGCACGACTCCTTCAAGACCCGGAGCCCCGTGGCCAGGAGTTCAGTGGAATTTTTCTTCAGTGGGATGTCCAGCGAATACGTGGTGTGCCTTGATGGATATGGTTTAGGGTGTAAGCGTCAGAGCTTTTGTTTTGACTCTTCTTTCCTACTTCTTGCTAGGTACTGAGGCCTTCCGTTCCTTCCGAATATTTCGTCGCACTGCCAGTGTTATTGTTAAGCCTCCTCCCAACTCCACCTGCTACATCTTCCCGCTTCCTAACTCCTAACACCTACCTCCCATTCACCCTCGCAGCACTCTCTCCTCTTCCGGTCTCTCTACTCTTCTCGCACCTGACCCCTCTGCTACTTCCATGCTGAAAAACCTCTGAAGAACCCAGACCTTCCAAAATCCCTTAACTAAGGAAGATACCTGAAGTTAGAATAGGATCCCAAATATGAATTAAGGTATATTCCTTAATTAAGGGATTTTGGAAGGTCTGGGAACCTCTGAAGAACACCAAAAACCTTCCGGACCCTCAGACTTCCTGCCCGGCTCGGCTTAGAAGCGCGTAGCCTCTATGCACAGACGTCCGCTTCAGAGTGCCAGGCTTCAGTTTCGGGTCTTTAGGGGTAAGATTTAGTATTATTTATTGCTTTAAGACTTGAGGTTTAGGTTCTCTAGAGCCTTATCCCTGAAATCGTAAGCCCTAACCCCAACGCTTTAGGGCTTCAGAGCCCTGTGGTTGCAAGATTTCCGGCATTCGGGTGTTAAGGCATCGCCTGAACCCTCTTGCGAAGGCTTTTTGGGGCCTGGGGTTTGGGCATGGGGTTAACGGGGTATGGGCTTCACCTTTACTCCAAATGAACTACCTTGAGAGACTTGTATACGGAAATCAATAATAAGGAGCCAGAAAATGAGGAAGGCTTTATCGAAATACCTTAAAGTACCATAACCTACTTTATCGTAGGCTCTTTTTGTAAGCCCTATTATGGAGTTTATAGGGACCCTACAAAATAGTAGGTTTTGCTAGTTCCAGGTAAGGTAGGGTTTATAGGGTTCAGGCTCTGCCTAGACTCCAATGCGTGGAAGGCTGCTCCATGCCAGTTTCGGCATTGAGATCGGCACCCCAGGAAAGGCCACAGCGTTCCAGAAATCGCTTCAAGTCCTCAGCTGGGTGGTTGTCAAAAGTATAGTCCCCTGTTTGGGTACCCTAGATAATGCGTGCCGCATTATAATGGGGACCCCAAACTTGGCGGACTTCTGAACCCCTCCTAGAAGTTAAACTTTTAGCCTCCTTATTATAGTTCATACAGAAACCCAACAAAGTTAAAGTCTAAAGAGCCAACCAGAAGAACGCCAAGCAAAAGGGACCCTAATTTTGACAACCACCCAGCTGAGTCTTGCTGTAGTTCCAAGACCCCTAGCCTCCCTGCTTGCCTGGCGCACAGTCCGTCCGTCAGTCAGTCAGTCAGTCAGTCGTATACATGTGTGTATTTTGGCATTTGATTGCGATCAGAGGTGTACGCCGCCTAATTACTTGCAAAAGAACGTAGCGGCTCGAAAGGCCTGGCTACAGGGTGCTCCCAGAACCGCTTGGGCGCTTGGAGATGTACACACTGCCCATCAAGGGTTCTGGTCCAAGCTTGTTGCAGGGTCCATGGGAGCGCCGCAAAAGGGCTATCCAACACGGCTGAGAGTCCTTGTGCCTCCCTGCTAGTCGTCCACTCAGCTTCCCAGTCGACTGGCAGACACAAGACATCAGGACGGGTCCCGTGTTGTAAATCCGCGATATTCAAGAGCTTCGCCCAGTCAATGACCCGCAGTGCTTGTTGGAATACCTCAAAGGTGTCCTGCTTCTCAGCAGGTTGACTGCAGGCATCGTTGGGACATCGGACTTCCGCAATGACATTCTTGCATACCGCTGTGAAGCCATCCAAAGTCTCCCGTGTCCACTCTGGCTCATTCCCCTGTTGAAAGAGAAACTCCATCTCCTCAGCAAGGAACTCAACGACAGAAAGGATCTCATCGGGGTAGAGGGGAAACTGCTTGATGGCCTCAAGGATGCAATGACTGAAGGAATCCGGCTCATCATGCTCAAATGCAGCCGCACAGGCCACACGATAGAGCTGTGCCTGATACCAACTCCAACCACAACTATCACCTGCTGGGGCTGGGTCGGAGATCTGCTGCGGGACGGCAGGGGTGTACTGCGCGACATCCTCCTGCCTTTGCTTCCTGCTTCCAAACCCTGCTGTCAGGCAATCAACAGGGCGGCCTTGGCGCTTCAGGGCAGCAACACATCCGGCGGCAGACCGCAGGTGGACCATCAGTCGCTTGCCACTCCAGAACTGCTTACCGCAACCAGCGCAGTGGGTGCCCTGCACATAGTGCCTGTACTCTGCAACTCGCTGATGTCGCTTGAAGAAGTGCACGCTCAGCTTGGCCTTGCTGCTGAAGGACACATCACACATGCAGCACTTCCATGTGGTAGTCCGCTGTGCAACATCTTGCCGTTGGGGCAACATTTTGTACATCTGCCAATGACAGAGATCGGTAGCCGCACGTGCACACATGGCGAGATGGTCCATCTTGAGCTTCTTTACAACCTGCCGCTTGAAGCATGCTGGGGCTGCTTTGAGACAACTCCACCATCTTGGCCAATCCGCTTCATGAACCTGGGGCCAGTCTCCAGGGTTGTCCTGCACAAACCATCGCAAATCGGCCTGGATAACCTTCAGCCATCCTCCTTCGTTCTGGAGCGCTGCCCAGAGGAGAGCCGGGCCATGGGTAACCAAGGAGATCAGCAATCCCAGTCGAGCCCGTTTGGCAACAGACTCCAAACACCAACAGCCACTAGCAACATGCGCAGCAAGCAATGGTAGATGGAAAAGGCGCTCCCCTTTGACAACAGGGGCTAGAAGTCGTCGCACCAGGCGGGAATAGGCATTGGTCAACAACCTCCATGCCTTCCCTTCGGGTATCCACAGGGCAATGTTGAAGAGGGAGGCCGTGACAATCGTGTGAAACAGCCCCGCTCGAACCTCCAAGGCCAAATCTGATCGCTGAAGCAGCAGTTTCGCCGAGGAGTCAAAGGCCTGGGTCGCCATGGCAACTCGATGCCTGGCTTCAACAACCATCGTGTTGTTGATGTCGACATAGCCTCCCAAGTGCCGGTACTGGGGAACAAGCGGGACGCTGTCACTACTGTCGGCGAGTGGCAGGGCGGGCTTGCCTGTCTCAAAGAGCCGTCGTTTGACCTTGACGGAGTCCTTGCCTCTCAAGTAGAGGAGCATGCTCGTCTTGCCCGGCTTCATGTTGGGGGTGAGGCCATGAGCCACACATGTCCCAATGACAACCTCGGATAGCCTCACCGCCTTTCTAACAACCTCCTCACACGATCTGGCAGCTGTGGGAAAGGCACTGTCATCAGCCCAGGTGGCGTCCCAGGATTGTTCATCTGCTCCTTCCAAACCCGTGCCGAAGACACCAGCGGTAGCATCATACGGCATGGCAAAGGCAAGATCCTCAACAGCAGCTGCTTCATAGATGGAGCAAAGTAACTTGCTGTAAATCCAAGCGAAGATTGTGTCCGCAAAGCTCTCGCCTGGTCTCGATCCGGCATATGTGCGGCATGCCCGACGGCCGTCTGCGTACCGCGTTGTAAACCATGTCTGGTAGTGGAGGTCCCGAATCACCTGTCGGAGAGCAGGCTCAATGCCTGCCTGATGCATGACCCCTCCACTGGAGATGACTTCCATCAGCTCTCTCAGGTCTTCAGGGCCGAGGTTGAACCGCTGCAACACCCTTACAACCGTCCGATCCTGACATATATCTCCGACAACAAGCTCTCTTGCAATACTGTAGTAGGCACTCTTGGTGTCCAAGAACAAGACCGCGTAATTGAGCTTGAGTCGGTGGCAACGTCTCACGTGTGTCAAGATGTAGAGCTCTGGAAACAGGACAGGGGCTCGTTGACGGGGGCCACAGTGTAACGGATGCAACGCAGTTTGGGTTTGCCTCTGGATCTTGTCCTTGATGAGCCTGTGATAGCATTTGCCAATCATGCTGCTCACAAACAAGCTCCTGAAGTTCGCAACATCTTGGCAGCTGCCGCTCTGCTTGTAGCACTCAAACAAAATGCCGCCTCTCCACTGAAGCGGCTGTTTGGCCCAAACCATTGATTTGACAAACAGCGGATGCAGCACTGCTGCCAAAGCAGAGTGCCCACTGGCCAGGACTTCGCCGGGCACGTTGTCCAAACCAGCGGCTTTTCGTCGCGGTAGCACACGGAAAACCTCTTGCACCTCCGCCTGTGTGGGCAGGAAGGAGAAATTCCATTCAACATCCTCAGCAGGCATTGGCCGAGCCGCCTGCTGGATCAGGTCTTTGGTGGCTATCACTTCTCCTTGCTCCTGGCCTCCGAAGTGCTCCAGCCAGACTTGGTCGTAGCTTTCACGTGTGCCGACGATAGTGCCATCAGCAGGGTTCAAGAGCGCAGGTAGAGGCCTGCGTTTGTTTCTCGCCTTAGCACCCCCAAGACCAGCGGCACGAACCCTTCGTAAGACTTGGCTGGCTCCTTGGTGCCCTTCGGAAATGACGCCCGAGAGGAAGCCTTGTCTGGCCTTGGCAATGCCACAGCTGATGCGCGAGGTCGCAAAGCGGATGGCAGCTGCAGCGAGTTGGTACATCAGGCCCTGCTTCGCAATGATGGCAAGCAGTCTGGGCTCTTTACCAATCCGCCATTTCTGAAAAGCCCGTGTGATCAGATCACGCCACAGCTGCGTTCTGCCACGGGTGACCTTTTTGAGGCGGTTCTTGGCAAGTCGTATGCTCCAGATCTCATCAGGGATGAAGGAGGATCGGGCTTGCGGCCGACTTACAAGGAAATGGGCCTGCAGGGTGGAGTGCAACATGTCCTGTATAAGTTGACAATGTTGGTCCGGGGAAATCCGCCAGTCCGGTTGGGGAAATGCACGGCACGCAGCATTCAAGATGTCCCGGCCTTCCGGTGACAGGATTTTGTCTCGATCATAAGCTGGGCGCCACAGCATCGACCTTCCACATCCACCAGTGATAAAGCCCCGAGCCCACACACTGACAAGGCGGTGGTCCTCCCGGGGCGCACCTGTGTCGAAATCAAGGTGCACCTGGCTCCGGACCTGCGAACACATTGCTCTGCCCCCCAGGGCAATATAATCGATACGATGTTCACTGCCCGAGGGATGGACAAACGTAGTATCAATGCCTGGATGTAGGTGGCGGTACGTGGCAGGTAGCCACATTCGCGATGCAACAAGGATCTGTGCAAAGCGTTTGCCAATCGCGTCCGGAGTGCCGGATTCGATCGGCCCTGTTGTTCCTTCGATGTCGCCAGGAACTCTTCCATTGAGGTCAATCCCCAGCAACACAAGGTCGTCTTTTTTAACCTTGCTCAACACTTTGTCAAGTCGCCCAAGGAAGTCCCAGCATTCACTGCCTTTGGCTTCGTGCGGGCAATGAGCAACAACAATGCTGATTTCCATGTTGGCATACGTGATACGCAGCACCAACAGCCGGGGTCCTTCATCAAGGATCTGGACATCATTCTCATCAACCAAGATGGCCCGCTCACACTTGTACATGACACCTTTTGTTCTGTGTAGCCAAACCGCAACGCCCCACTTGGAGAGGGAGTCGGTGGCCAACCTCAAGTAATTTTTGGTGCGCAGTACACCACTGGACGCTTTCGTCTCTTGGAACATGACAACCTGAAAATCGAGGTGGTCGAGCTGGGCTTCGAGGTACGCACTCTTTCGACCGAAACCTTGCACGTTGAGCACCGCAACATGAATGTCGAAGGGCTGGGCTCGGTGGTCATCATCATACCCTTTTCCCACAGTAGGAACAAGCTGGTTGGGCTGCAGACGGTACCCATCATCACGGAAAGGGGCCCATTCCATGCAACCATCCCTGATGGGCAGGGCCGGATCGCTCTGGGCACGAAGCTCCGTCACCAGCCATGCAAGGTTGAGGTCCTGGAACTCGCGACAAATATGCGGGGGCGGGGTTCCATAGGTCCGTCGCCCTGCTGCTGCTTCCTTGGAAGCAATGTCGGAAAACTCATTCCAGGGGTCATTGGCATGGGCCTTCACATAGGACATGTGGAGGTCAATGCCAGGTTGAGTTCTGACGTACATTTCAAGCAAATGGGCTTGTTCTCCAAAAGGATCTGGTGCCTTCCATTGACCCGTGGCTGCATATCCAGCTGCTAGACAATCAAAGTGAATTTCGCACCTGAACTGTCCTAGCATAGAGCGAAATTGCAGGGTCCACAAGAGGGCAACCGTGACGGCGACTTGTTCAGCTCGAAGGGCAGCTGGGGCGTCCGTGGGCCACACAGTACCCGGGTTGCCGAGAAGCTGCTCACTCATGAGCCCAAGTACAGCAGCGCAGGCCCCGAGTCTTAGGAGGATCGTGACCGCATAGCCACTGGTACCAGTTTTCTGGTTCGCAGAGCCGTCAGTATAGAGGTGTAACTGCAAGGGCTGGCCTTCTCGGGGCAGCGCCAGCAGATCCCGCCAGGAATATGTCTCAGCAAGAGCTTGCACTGTCACATCTTTTAGCGGGAGGCCGGAAATGTCGCCCAACAGCCACGTAAGAGGCCATGGGCTCGGGTTCTTCCAATGCGCTGGGACCTTCGGGAGGCTGATGGTCTCCTGGGTCAGGTCAAAGGAGGGGGGCTGCACATAGTCAGCCAATCGGATCATTTCTCCTGCAATCGCCTCATCATTTGCACATGTAGTCCTTGGAGCGCTCAGTCCTTGCGCCTGACCTCCTCGCGGGACAGGGGTCCGGCTCCTCTCTCTCACTGGCTGTGGAGGCGGCGGCCCAAACGGGCCTGGTCCATCAGGTGGCCCTGGGTCGGAGAGGTCAGACGAGTCTGGCATGGGATCCTGTCCGGAACTTGTGTCATCGTCCGCCTCCTCATCCGGGTCATCGCCTCCATCCTCTGAGGGCTCAGATGGATCAAGTCGATCAGTTCGGGTGAGGACAACATCAAGGATCTCACCGTCCTCAACTCTAAGTAGGCCAGTATTTCCAACTTTCCTTCCCCCATGGACGACAATGGAGAAGCCATCAATCGCTGGAATATAGAGGGCATGGACATACTCTCCGGGGTCAAACTCACCATTGTCTGCCACCACCCATTGCATTCCGCGACCGACTGGCCGCAGATCAATGAAGACAACACATAGGTGATCCGGCGCTGGTTGCGGGCGGGCACCAACAGCAATGACAGAGTGGACTCGTCGTCCTTGATCTGCCAAACGAGGCGGCCGTTGAAGCGGGGCCCGGACCCAGAAATCATCACCAGGGAGGTCGAAGGCGGCTTTGGCAACTTCTCGAGGGTTCCTCGGGTCGCCACGCTGGGTCAAATGGAAGAAATTCCGAGTCTCCGTCTGGAGTTCCACAAACCGCCCTGGACGAAGTTCAGGGTGGTCAGTTTCAGGTCGCCAACGGGTGGGGTCATCCAAGCGGGCTTCCAAACCATCACTCCAGGTAACCTCGGAACCACGGGGCAAGACTTGGATCAAAGCCCCGTTATCTGGCTGGAAGTGTGCAGTATGCGCCAAGGGGATCACCGCTCCTTGGATGAAAATTTCAGCATCTGCTGTTGGATCAATGCCGGCCTTCCGCAGGATCATGTAGCGGGTCACAGGAGCGGTGACATAGATGGAGAAGATGCCTTGCTCAAACGGCCGAGCATCAATCACGATGGCCTTGTAGTTGGAGGCCGCGACCCAGTCAGGCAGCAGGAGGAAGCTGACGAAGTCATTGTTGAGCTGGGGGCGGACCTCAACCAGCTCACTTAGCCACGGCATGTCCATTCCCCGTACAGACTCTTCAATGGCCTCAACCACACGGCCAACTGAAAGGGGAAAGGCCATCGCTAGGTCAAGGGACTCCGGAACCACCGCCGGCGAGCATAACCAGAAGGAGACATGGACGGCGGTTGGGGTGTCCTCAACAATCTCATTCCATCCAGCATCGCCGTCATTCTCCTCAGTATCGAGAGGGTCTGGAGGATCCGGGCGTGGTCGAGGAGGCCCACCCGCATGGATGGCGGTGGGTAAACGACCGCCACTCTCGAGGAGTTCTGTGCAATCTCCTCGTCGGGGCGGCTGTGAGAGCTGTTCCGCAGCTGAAGGCAGCCCATCCATCCACAGCTCCATGTTCGAAGGCCGCCTCCAATCCCCACTTCTGAGGTGACTTCGGCTGGTATCAGGGGCTGCATCACCAACAGCAAAGGCGGCCACAGCCAGGAGGACATAACTGGAAAAGCAGGGCCTCCGTCCGCCTCGTCGCGAGGCAGCATAGGGACGCTGCCATCGGACTTGGTTGCCCAGGATCACATGTGTGTATAGATATATATATATATATATATATATATATACATATATGTGCATGATGTGTCTGCATGTATGTAGATGTAGATGGCGATGTAGCTTTGCAGAGCATTCAGCTTAATTATCGGTGGGTGTGCGACAAATAGACCCTCACTCAGATATGCAAGTTTTGTACTGTTCGATGTAGTTTGACAGGCGGGCTAAACATGAAACGTGATCTTTGCTTTTTCGCCGGAGCTGCATGTTGCAGTGTGTGGGGGTTACATGTGTTATGTTCAAGCTATCACGTCAAATACGGCGACTGGTGTTGCGACCATGGTTCTCGAGTATAAGCGCTTTCTATTGTTCTGGTCCATGAGGACTTAGAACCTTAATATCAAAGCCCCAAGCACCAAGGTCTCACCCTAACCCTGAACCCTTGCACAATACATTCTGCAACCGAAGCGCCCTGAGCTCCTCCTCAGTAGAAACCCGTGACCCCTGAAACCCTACTTAAAGGATCATGGGACTTAGTAAGTAGGAGTATAAGTAGGTTTTAGTTAGGATACCCCCACTTAGGAGACCCCAGATACAACCCACTTACTAAAGTCCCACGATCCTCTAAGTACACCAGCAAGCCCGAAGACTGAAACCGAAAATCCAAACTACTTACTTGTTAACCTTAACCCAAAAGGGTCCAAGGTACCTGTATAGTAGATTGTAGGGTTTCTATATTAGGGTTTAGGGTTCATGATTTGGGGAAGTATCCCCCGTAACAGTACCTAGGACCCTTTGGGTAAAGCTCTGCACCCAACACCCCTTTCCAAAGATCCCTTGCGACCCTCAGGCGACTGGGCCCCTGGCATTGGCTGGGAAGCTGGGCGTGCCCCGGAAGACCATATGCTCAATCAGGTGGGCAATGCCCAGCTGGTCCTCTGCAGATGAGTAGTTGTCAAAATTATGGTCCCTTTCTTGGGGTACCCTAAATACTAGGTGCCGTGCTATAGTAGGGACCCAAAAAGGGACCCTAATTTTGACAACCACCCACAAAAGGGTGGTTGGCCAAATTAGGGTCTCGTTTGGGTTCCCAGTATTAAGAGTAGAAGTATATGGAGTTCCCCAAAGGGCCGTGATGTTGACAGTTACGAATATGTATGTGCATATTAATGTAGAACCTGACCTAGACCCCTAAAGTAGTAGGATGCACAAAAAGAGCCCGAATACAGACCAGAGATGTCTTAGCCAGGCTCCTATGCGATGTGTGTATGTCAATGTACGCATGCAGGCATGTATGCTTGTAGTTAGGTAAGTATCCATCCCCACGGCTTTGGGGTCTGCTATCGGCGGATCCTGAGGATTGAATGCTTAGGTTTCGAGGAGTTTAAGCTGGTAGCATCGGAACTGTATCATACGTGCGCTACTTCAAGATTTGCTACCGATCGAAAGTTCAGGATTGGTAGGATTGAAGGCGCAGGGTTTAAGGTTGGAGAACCTAAGGCTTCAGGTTCTATGGACACGGCTATCTGCCGTTCGGGGGCGAAGAGGAACGCTCCAAAGCCCTGTAATCCCCACGCCTAAGCCCTAAACCCTATGTAAGCCTACCTCGGCCGTACATGACCCCACGGGATTTAGTGTTTGGGAGGTCGGGGTGTAGGCTTCGAGAAACGCGCGAGCTCTTCCCGGATATCCCCTATGAGCCAATGGCACTTTTATGAAGGATATGGAACCCTTTATTTTAAAGGGCCATTTTTTAAACACTAAGCCCTGAACCCTCAAAAGCCCGAAACCCTAAACCATCAAAAACGCTAAACCCTAAACCCGCTTTTATACCACCCGCCACAGTCTTTGAGTTCTCCTCCTCTTCTGCAAGGCCCTTTATGAAGGATATGGAACCCTAAACCTTTCACTCCCGCCACAATCTCCTCCTCTTCTGCAAGGCCTGTTATAAAGGATATGGAGCTCTAAACCCTAAACTCCTAAACCCCTAAACTCCTAAACCCCTAAACCCTAAACCCTAAACCTTAAACTCCCGCCATCGTCTCCTCCTCTTCTGCAAGGCTGCCAACTCTTACCACGAGGCGCAGCAAGGCCCGAGCTCGAGGTTTCCGGTTCGTGTAAGCCACCTTCCCAGACCCCGGGGAGGATCTAGGAACCCTATATAGTGAATCCCAAAAAGTTGGAACATAGATTTGGGATGATTTGTGGTGGGATTCCCCTTACTTTAGATTAAGTGCATGAGGATAGTAATGTTCCAACTTTCTGGCTTCTACTATAGATCCCTTTAAAGGAACCTTTAAACTGGAACCCTAGATATTCCTTAATTAAGGGGAAAGGCTTCTGGTTTATAAACCCTATAAACAGGATTATAGGATTTAGGACTTTGGGATTAGGGTTGAGGGTTTGGGTTTAGGGTTTACATGCACCCTAAGGAACCTACCTTTTTAGGGCCCCCTAATATGATTCCTTTATATAAGTCCCTAAAAAAGTAGGTTATTTGGGGTTAAGGTAGGGGTTTGGGAGTTTAGGGTTCGATAGTTACTGTTCTGATTCGTAGCCATTGTTAACAACAAGGATCTCCAAAGCAATTCTGGTCAATATTCAGACCCGTATGTTCCCATAAGGGCTCCATAAGTGTTCCAGAGGGTCACTAATTACAACAACGGAGGCTACAACGGCAGCTTGCATGCGTCTTCTATAGGAGAAGTGGGATATCCTGTCTTTAGAAAATAAGGAGTCGCTCTAAGAGCCACCTCTCAGACCTTTAACCCTGAACCCTAAACTCATATCCCTGAACCCAAAACCCAAGCTCGAAATCAGAAACCTAAGCCCCGTCTCTCAGAGACCGACATACCGGACGCCACAGGGCAGCTCCCCGATGCTGAAGCGGGGATCCTGATTAATGGTTTGGGGTTTAGGTTTTGGGCGGTTTCGGGTGTACCTGGACCCTAAGGAACCTACCTTTTTAGGACCCCCTAGTATGATGTCTTTATAGAAGTCCCTAAAAAGGTAGGTTGTTTGGGGTTAGGGTGTAGAGTCAAGGGGGTGCAGGGTGTAGGGATTTGGGGCTTGGGGTGCACGCGGTTTAGGGAGTTTAGGGGGTTTACGGGGTTTCCGGGCCAAGGGCTTGAAGCGTTTAGTTAGGATTCAGGGTCCTGTGGAAGCAGCTCATCCAATCGAGGCAGCCGTGGGGGCCGCGAGATTAGCTTGGCCTTCGGCAGGTTCCGATGGGTGTGTAGGGTCCAGCAAATAGGAGCAAACGCGATAGGGCTTTGCAAAATGGGTTACAGGATTTCGGTGCTTTAACAACTACAAAAAGGGTCTGGGTCTGGTTCTACCATTAATAGTCACATTAAGGAACCCTGCGGCTATACTAGTACGAAGAACAGCAAAAAACAACACAAGAGCAGCGTCGTCAGGCGAGAGAGGGACCCCAAAAGCAGCAACAGTAGCCCTAGGAACGTTGACATCAACGTCCTTATGACAACGGTGAACATACATTCATCGCAGTCATCTTTGCAATCAGAACCGTGATTGTCATAGTAGTTTCTACCATCGACATGTACACCACCTTCAGCGTCAGCATCACCGTCAACATCACCAGTACCATCAGCATCGTCGTCGTCTTCATCATCGCTATAGCTCTCACCACCGAACTGTAGACAAATGTCCCTTGTGTACATGGCCTGAAAGACCTGTTTGTGCAGAATCCGGCACTACCGAAATCATAACGTCCAAATCCTACATGCCAAATGCAGTAGATCCTACATTCTGAAGTCTATCCCTGATTCCTTAGTTGGCAATTCTCAACCCTTAAACCACTCGTGCGTGCATACACTAAAGTCCTCTATGCTGGCGTGGAGTCGCTAGCTAGAAGGGAAAGTCGATTGGCCCTGACGTTTCATAGGGAAGCCGGGAATAACAAGGTCAACGGGTACTGCTGGCGGAACTGTAGCCAAACCCAACTTCTGCAGAGCAAGGCGCCATGTAGGGCAGTCGCCATAGAGCGCGACGACGCCGCCGCTGCGGATCCATGGCTCTTCTCTCCCACAGGGTCCAAGTACTCCCTACTATAGGACTTTAGTGCCTTTTTAGGTACCTAAAACCATAAATAATTAAGGACCACTTGGACCCTCAGGGTCTGACTTCAGACTTTCAGGTTTTGGGCTTAGTGTTCGGGGTTTAGGGCTGAGGGTTTAGGGCTCGGAGTCGTGGGTAGTGGGTTTGTCAGAGGGCATCAATGGTTTGAGACTGCTGCCTTCCCCAATATAGTAGATGTAGGGTTTCTATTTCATCAATTACTATTATGACTTGGGGAAGTATCCCCCATACGACTATGTACCTAGGACCCTTGGGGTTCTTAACCGCAACCTGGGACTACCACGGCCGCAGGGCGAGTTGTTGCGTGGTCCATGTCCGACGTTCCCATTGCTCGGATACCAAGCGGAGTCTGGCTTGCAGCTCGCGCTGTAACATAGGAACCTTAATGATCAGAATCGGGTCCTCAGGAATAATCGAGTATAACGAGAATATGGATCCCTAAGAATGATATTGGTAATTGTTCCGGCCCCTATAATTAGTAGGGCAGCATGTAGGGACTTCAGGGAACAGACTTGGAGACCATTTCGGAGCACATGAGCATCTGGCCTGAGAACCTAGATAAGATGCTAAAGGGCCCGTGATTTCCTACTGTACCCGTGGATCTTGTTTAGGGTTTAGGGGCTTAGGGTTTCGTGGTTTAGGGTTAAAGGTGCCAGCTTCGAGAGGGCTTCAGGTTTATTCGCGACAGGTGTTTAACACCCCTAAACCCTGTTTGGGCTCATCGTCCGCTCACGGCATCCCAAAATCTTTAAACCCTGCACCAAACCGCAACAATCGTAGACTAACTCCTGGATACCCGCAACCTCTGACCGAACTGGAGCCTGAAATCACACAGAAGGCTCCGGTTTGTTGGGGCGGTTCAAGGTTTAGGGTTCAGGGCTGTTGTGCCTTTGGGTGTCCGGGATGTGGGGTATGTAAGGTTGGCGAAAGTGGTAGTTGTAGTCGGCTGGACATAATTCTGGTAGTTGTGGTCGGCTGTCCTGGGGACGCCCCGGCCAAGACAAGTCGAGTTAATATAGAGGCCTTAATAGTTAGAATCGGGCTTGGGGGAGTGTTTTAAACTATATCCGTATAATTTATAATAACGAACCCCCAAAACCCCTAAGACAAGTCGAGTTATGAGCTTCGTAGGCTTGCTGTCACATGCGGCCTGCTCAAAGGCGCTGCGCACGCCCCGGCAGATGGAAGGCCTTCTAACATGTGGGCATATTAATCACCTATGTGGACCTCAAAAGCATGTAGAATAATGGCCCTTTTTCTGTTTGGTGCCATTATTTGACCTACTTGAGGGGGTTTTGGTAAAGCATGTTCCTCAAGGAGCCCTCGCATTTTGACCCTGCTGAGTGCCCGATATCGGAACTTTTCTCGAAGGTTGGGGTTTGGGGGTTGACCCAGAGAACCCAATAATACCCGTTAATTAAGGAATATACCTTAAGTTATAGGGGCCTTAATGTTATGATTTAAGGTATATTCCTTAATCAAGGGGGCTTTGGGGGGTTGAAACCTTGCAGGCTTTGCTTCAGCTCTGTGCTGGACATGTTCTGAGCTCAGGATCGAAAAGGAAAGATAGGGTTTAGGGTTTAGTAATTTAGGGGTTTAGGGTTTAGGGTGGTATTCTGTAGCATGTAAACGACCCTGAAGCCGAAGCCCTCAACTCCTAAATCCCAGACCCCACTGTCTTACGGCCCCAAACCGTTTCAGTTCGCCACGGCAATCTCAAGGCCCGATCGTGTAAACTTCCCATGACAGGCGGACTGAGAAGCCTTTACCTTTCCAGGATAGGAGGGTTCTGGGCGTTCAGGGTTGAGCGGGTCGGAATTGAGGGTTCTGGGCGTTGAGAGCTTAGGGTGTTAAATTTAGCTTCATTGCTAAGGGCCTTAGTGGTTCAGGATGTCTAGGATGTTCAGCGAGGGATTTAAGAGCTTTCTGAGCTCCGGGTCGAAGTACTGCACGTACAAAACATGGGAGCAAGATGATGATATGTTCAGCCCAAGCCCGCCTCCAACAAAACCGAAATATCCGGCGGACTGCACCGCTTCATCCCATGTTTACTGCCACTCCCCCCAAAAAATACCGTTTTAGGATCCGGACTTGAACAACGAAATCACTACAATGGTTTATGATCAAAAGGTTCAGGTGCGGTTTCAGGACCCAACAGACGATTTGGACAGACGAAACGACTACCCTCAAGAGGAAGCACCCCGGCGCAGGCTTTGTCTGCAGATGGGGTGCACCCGGCAGAGTTCCAGCATTTTCGCGCGCTCCCAATGTTTCAGGTTGGGCTCGCTGCCCAGTACCGCGCACGAAACGGCTGAGATTGCAAGACAGGACCCGTCGAACGCACCTAATGTAATCTGAAATGCTTGAAGCCCTCGATACCGAACTGTCAATCTTCCTGAGCTGCCATGAGGTCCACAGGACTTGTACAACCGCAACGGCTCATTGACGAAGCCAAACAACGAAAAACCTGCCTCTTCTAGCCTCAGAGCAAAACAGGACGTTGAGTCACATCCTGAACTCTCAAACAAAATCCGCTCTAGGGCAAAATGTAAGGGTTTCCTGCGGGGTGTCCTGTTTAGGGTGTAGGGTTTCGGGTTTGTATGCAAGAAAGCTTTAGCTACCAGCTTGCGATTGCAACTTCTCAGCTGCTTGATATCGTGTTTAGGATTCAGGGTCTATTTATGCCCTAAAACCTCACCCTAAACCCCTTCAGCAACTAAACCCTAAACCGTAGAGGGTCCAAATCATGGTAGTGCTGAGTCCTGGCAAGAGTTGCAGACACCTTCCCCTCGTTCGAGGGTGGCATCGCTAAGGGTCCATGTACCTGTACATATATACATATATATATATATATATGTATATATGTATGTACATACATATATATATATATATAATTATTCATTAATTATACAGATAGAAAGATAGAAAGAAAGATAGATAGATAGATACATAGGTAGACCGATAGATAATGTTTGATAGTATAGGAATGCTTTTAAGATCAAAGTGTCTACTGCACCGCTAGTTACATAGACCCTTAGGGCCTTGGGGTAGCGTCATCTTCCCTGGGCCTGCTGACGGCCACGAAAATTGCAGGCTTCTTCTCGATCCAGAGTTGAGGTTTAGGGCTCAGAGTTTCGGTTTAGGGTTTAGGGTTTAGGATTCAGGGTCTAGGGGTTTAGGATTTCGGTTTGGGATTTTGGGTTTAGGGTTTAGGATTTCGGCTTAGGGTTTCGGGTTTGGGTTTATCTAGGGTTGAGGGCGGGTTCGGGGTTTAGAATGTGCTTCTGGATCCAGGGTTAGTGTATTGAATCCCAATAGTCGAAGTACTAAGTGCCTGGTAATATCAAACTCCGCCCAAGGTCTAACCTGGATTTCTGTACATATGGGCGGTTGTCAAAATTATGGCCCCTGTTTGGGTCCGTATTCTAATACGGCACCTTTTATTTAGGGTACCCAACATGGGGCCATAATTTTGATAACTACCTATATAATGATGAGGTAGTTGTCAGAGCAGCAGGATGGACTGTCAGTAGTAGTGTTAGACGCACTGACAGGGAGAAGCTAAGCACAATAGAACAGTGATTCAGCAGGCATTCAGCATACTACTCGCGAACACTCACTCATCTACTCACTCACCCATGTAGGACTATCGCTGTAGGCATTAGCCGCATTAGCTTCATGGAATTGGGAATTCGTGACCTGCAGCTTGGCTTTCGCGCACCTTCCAGTGCAAGTCTAGGGATCTGCTGTCACATCACTGTCATTGAAGCCTGCATTTGCAGATGCTACGCCCCGCACTTGAAGATTATTTATTCCTGCGGACGTTCTCCCAAGAGGCCATTCCGCGCGAGATGGATATTTATGAGCAAAAGACTTCCACGAACCTCGTGGTCGCTTACGGAGGCTTCGTGCGAGCACCCCGTGCACTTCGAAGCAGATTGCCTAGAAGCGTCCACAGTCACGGCTCACAGCACAATGTTCGACACCGCAGATGCCGCGGACGGTCCCACATGCTCCAGGCGTTTCAGCCTCTGGTCAATGCTGCGGCACGTGCCGAGAAGCTTGGCACTGGATCGCTGTAGGACCTTAGTTAGTTGCAGATCATACCCTCCATTACAATAGGGGAGCAAGCAACGAAAGGAGCTACAATTCCCACAGGGTCCAAGTATCAGTACAGTAGCTACTTAGTAGACCCACTGGCCCAAATCCCAAGGAAATAAAAGTTGAAACTTTCAGTCGACTACCTTATAAGAACCCCAAAAGTTCAAAAGTTGAGTTTAGAGCCAATAAGTAGATATTTTGGCTCCAAAAGTATATACTGAAGACTATGCTACTACTTCGACACTTTGGGATGGGGGAGCCAGGTAAAGTTCACGATGATTGCCACCCTAACCCCCCAAAAAAACCCTAAACCCTAAAGCCTAGGATCCTGAATATTCTCAACACCTGATCCCAATGTCGACTAGATCCCATTTTTTCTACATCCAGTTCATGAAATCCCTAAACGGAGTCCTAGAAAGGAAACCGACCCCCTCTCTCCCCACGCCCCCCCCCCCCCGCCTCACCGCACCCAGCCACCCATCAAACCTGAGAGCCTGAATTTCCGAGCTAAACCCTAAGCTTCCTAAACCCATAAACCCCCAAACCACGTAAACCCCTAAACCCTGAGACCTAAACTCCCTAAACCCACTAAACCCTAAACCCCTAAACCAACAGGAGTAAAGTTGACAAGTTCGACATCGGAGAAGCCATGATGTCCAAAGCTCGCGCTTGGCCTCTTACGTGCATCACGCCGCTGCAGAACTCCTGTGCATACCCGAAGGCTCCATAGTAGTTCCTTTTTGGGCTTCATCTTTAGAATTCTATGAGGTAATCCCCAAAAGGAACTACTATGGAGCCTATGGGTATGGAGTGTAGACCAGTGTAGATGTCATTAAGCCTATGCTTCCAGGGACTTCTTAAGGGGTCTAGGGCCCTTACTACAATGTCCTTGGAAGCAAAGGGCTGGACGAATTAGATGCTTTTATTGTTCGCAGCAGGCTCTGTATGTAGGTGGGCTAAGTGTAGGGGCCTGAAAAATTAGAACAAGGCTGTGGGGCATCTTATACTATAATTATAATAAGGAAACCCCACAATAGTTTTGGTAATTACTTAGGCCCCGATATTAGGGTTTCGGATTCAGAGCTCGAGGGCTTCGCCTAGTGGCTTAGGCTAAGTTTCAAAAGCACGGGGTCTGAGGGAACCGCGATTTGTCGAGGATGATGCGTCTCACAGACCACGCTAAGGCTTATAAGGATACGATAAGTAGGTACAGAGGTTTAAACACGAGTATCTTGATTCGTGAAAACCACGACGCGCAGATCCTGTACGAATACAACATTATACTAAAGGTTGTGATGTTTCAATGCTGATCTTGCTTTGATAGCTAAAGCCAACATCAATCCCAAATGTATCTGAACTCAAGACAGCATGCTGCCGAAAAGCCTGCACTGTAATTTTGCCGTCACCATCATCCAAAATATCAAACAGGTTCTTCACATCGTGCACATGTATATCCAAGAGGGCCATGTACCGCTTGATAATCGGGTGGTCCAAATGCTCGATGAACTCTTGGTAAGAAACGGAGCCGCTATCATCTCCGTCCATGGTGTGGAAGAGGTCTTGCAGCTTGCTCTGATACATTTGCGATGTCCTTTTGCTCTCGTCAATCTGCAATTCTGCATCGTTGGCAGCATTTGCAAGTGTCTCCTTCAAAAAAATGGCTGTTACGATCCTTGGTTTTCTTGTGCAGTCCTGGAAGCAAGAAGTCTTGAACCTCTAACTCCACAAGGCTCGATCCGCGGCGTTTGGCTCAAATCAGCACCCGAAAGCCTGAATTAGGGGCCCTAGTAATCAGAACAGGGGTTTGGGGCTCAGTATACAATTACAAAGACCCCCCCCCAAGAAAACAAAAAAGAAACAAACAAACACATATTGGAAATTACTTCGGCCCTTATATTACCCATGGATGGCCAAGGCACCGGAGCAGAGCAAAAACGACAAGCGTCACGTAAATCCTCAACTGTCAAAAACGATGACATCGAGCATTCTGGCGTTGGTAATGTACCGATATAGGGATGTGTGGGTAGTGTAGGGTTTAAGGATTAGGGGTTTAAGGTTCAGGGGTTTAGGGTTTAAGGTGCTTTCGGGTGGGAAGTGGGTAGGATAGGTTTTGCTTTTTGCGAGTTATGTGTATATAAGCGCTCCTGAAGCGTTCTCAAAAAGAGCTACAACTAAAACTTGCTTTTTGGGCTTGAAGCCGAACAATTTTGGAAGAAACAGCATACAAGCGCCTCAAGCAAGAAACAAAACTGGTCTAATAGGGTCCAGATACACCTATCAGCTGTACTACCATTACTACTACTGCTGCTACTGTTTCCGCACTTTGCTGCTGCAAGCGCTTCTGCTGCTCCTCGCCGAAGTTGCTGCGACAAAAACTACCACGACCAGGGCAACGATTGCGACTACTCCCGTTCCTGGTCCTACTTACAGGATCATGGGACTTAGTAACTAGGGTTATAATTAAGGTAACTATACTTATAGTTACTTATGACCTCACTTATGGTACTTATAATCCCACTTACTAAGTCCCATGATCCTCCAAGTAGTCGCTGCTTTAAGCGTTCAGTGCCGAACTGGAATCCTCGAGATGGCTCTCCCAAAAAACCGAACATATCCTGAACCTGACACCGTTCTAGTTCCGGCCAAGCTCAAGAGTAGAAGCGCATACCATGGGTTGACGAAGTCTACCACCGGACGAAAGTAGTTCGGCCATCCTCCACTGTACGTCACCTGCGGAGCAATAGAGGCTCGACGGGCTTAGGGTAGTTCAGAGTTTCGTTCCCCCCAAAACCGGCGATGTTTCACATGCCTCTATTCCTGGAGATCCAGAAAGAGCACCAAACCTGACAAAATTTGGACGCTCTTTCTCGGTTTCCGGGGCCCAAAATTTGACACTTTTGACAGATTTGACCGTCCTTTCCTCCGGGGCAGGGGGCCGTGTTGCTTCGCCTGCGCAACCCTAAACTCCGTAATCTTCAGAATCTGGCTGAAAATGTAGGGGTCCAAAATTATTACCTATACTATTTTGGGGGGGGTTCCTTATTATACTTAATATTGCTTTGTAAAAATGTATGTTAATATTTTTCTATTTCCTATTTTGTACAAATTGTCCCATAATTATAAACTTCCCGATAGTATAATGGGCCTCAAAACCCCTAGATTAGACCCAAGCCTGAAAGCCCCAGCCCAAAAGAAGAACTGCCCAAAGGCCTCGAACATGGTGAACAGTGCCTTCATGAAGCTTCCATAGAAACCTGCACTTGCTAAGCTTTAAGGTTTAGGGTTTAGGGTTTAGGGTTTAGGTTAGAAGCTGCCCCCACCCTGTAATAGTGGTATAATAGGAATATAATAGGGCCCTAATATAATCCTATATAATCCTTGTGGTCACTATTACAGGGTGGGGGCCCCTTCTAAGGTTTAGGGTTTAGGGCTTTAGGGCTTTGGGGGCTTAGGGTTTTAAGGTTTTAAGGTTTTAGGGTTTTAGGGTTTTGGGGCTTAGGGTTTTAAGGTTTCAGGGGTTTTGGGGTTTTTGGTTTTAAGGTTTTAAGGTTTTGGGGTTTGGAGGCTTAGGGTCTGGTGGGGCTCAGGGTTCAGAGATTGGGGTTTAGGGTTGTAGTAACCTTGGGTGCGACCTTTCGCAAAGGGTCCTATGTACTGTCATGGGGAATACTTCCCGCAATCATAATAGTAATTCCTAGTATAGAGACCCTACATTCTACTATATCGGTACTTTGGACCCTTTGGGTTTGTGTTACCACACCTTCAGAGCTTGCAGAGCTTTACAGGGTTTTGGACTGAAGGCTAAGGATCAAAGAACGCTTGGCTTAAATCACGATGCTTCAAGGACAGCATAAGGGAACGCATACCCGCAGTAAATGCACCAAACCACAAAGCCCGTCACGGTACGGAAATAGATTTCTAAACAATAAACCCTAAATCCTAAACCCTAACACGGTTTATAAACAATAAACCATAAACCCTATAAACCCTAAACTCAAAAAAAGATTTCTAAACAGGACCCAGAATCTGTTGATCAGCTTCCGGGCATCCAGATCTTGCCCCTCGTCCAGGACGAAGTCCTCCAAAATTTGGGTTTGGGGGGTTAGGGATTAGGGGGTTTAGGGATTAGGGATCAGGGATTGGGGTTCTGGGTTACGAACTGAGGGATTTGTAGGGGGGGTTAGGGCTGTAAGAGGTTCAGGGTTTGGGGTGTGGGATTCGAGTTTTCCTGGCTGCTTTGCTTGCTTGATATTGGAACATCACTGTGAAGCAGGCTATCCACGAACAATAGACACAGTTCACATAAACCCTAAACCCTAAACCCTATTGAGGTAGGTTAGAGGTCCTGGGGGGGGGCGAATGTTACCGAATGTTTCCGGTTTCGGCGTTGAAGATTTCGCCAACATCGTTGCAGAGCAACGGATGGCATCGTTACACTGAGCGCGCGTTTTACCCCCAAGTACTTGTGCTATTGACCCATGGGCTGTCTATCGCATGATGACTGCGATTAAAAGCTTGTTTGCCGACGTATGATCTAGCACTGTTATAGTCTGCATGCTTGTTGCTGCTGTAAAGCCTGGTTCAAATTTAACAGCTTAGACCCCACCAAACCCATGTTACAAGCCATATCAAACCTTTTCAGCCCTACACTTACGAACCGTGTGAAACCGTACGAAACCTATCAGACCTGCAAGACCCGACGAAACCGTAACGAGATTCCTAGAGCACCCACATACACCCAAAGAGTACAGAATTGCGCATTTCTCTGGGAAATATAAGCCCTCAGGGCGAATACTGGAGCCTCAATGAGTAGTAGGGTAGCGTTTCGAGTATCTCGGGAGCTTCATAGGTCTTGCGGGGTCAGAATAGATTGGCACGGGGGCGGGGATTGAAAACTAGAAGAGGCTTTTCTAGGGTTTAATGACTCTGATGAGCTTGCCTAGAACTGATGAACAAGTTGGAGCTTTCTATTTCAGAACAGGCTGCAACTATGAGGGCTTCACATGAAAAGCCCTAAATTCCTACGAAGCCCTGAGCCCTAAGATCCCGAATCCTGCACCCTAGCCTGGATCCCATGCTACCTCCTGGACCCCCTCCCTGGGCCCCAAAGTATGTAGAATCATAGCCTTTTATAGGTTTTGGGCCATTATTTTACCTAAAGGGAACTCCAGAAAGTTGGAATATGGTTTCAGGGTAGGATACCTTATAATTTACCATAAAGGGTTTAGGATAATCATATTCCAACTTTCTGGCTTTTACTTTACTTGGGGGTGTAGGTGCAGCCGAAATCAACAGACGTCGAAAGACCCAAAGGCCCAGAAAGCCGCACGAAGCCCTCAACCTGACAAGCCCGAAATCAGAACGCTAAACATGTCCCGCACCGTGAATCTTCGAGCTATAGCCCATTAGACCCGAAACAATCATAATTCATTAATCTTCCAAACAAGCACCTGGGTGCATGCTATGATGGCGAACACAATATATCCCAAGGAACGTCCAGAAATCTCAACGACCCTTAACCCTAAACTTCGAACCCTGAACCCTGAAACCTGAAATCCTGAACCCTGAACACAAAACCCCAAGTCCTACACACTGAATCCTAAACATAGTCGGATACCCAAGGTATCTCAATAATTCCCAATACTATTCTTTGGGGCTCCTTACTATACTTATACTGTAAAGGAGCCCCAAGCCCTGTTCTAACTGCTACGGCCCCTGCATTTTAGAACCCGATTATCGAACCCTGTAGAACCCTACTACAGAACCTTCAAAGAACCCTGCAAAGTAACCCTCTCCGAAACCCTAAACCCTAAACCCTTACTTAACATCCCAAAACCCTATAGAGCCCTTCAAGGAACCCATTCTGGATCCCTTTAAGGAGCCCTTTAAGGAACCCTTGAACAGATCCCTTTAAGAAAACCCTAAACCCCAAAGCCCGGATCCTAACTGCAATGGTCGCCTGGAGAGCCTGGGAGATCATCAAGGCAAAGCCCACCTTGTCCCAGACCCCCTTTGGAGGATCCAAAAAGGGTTTAGGGTTTAAGTAGATCCCTTAAGAGGGTTCCTATAAGGTACCCTTAGTAGCTAGGGTCCCAAATTAGGGATCTATCTTTTCGATCCTCCCGGGGGTCTGGGGTGGCACTTGCCCTAAACCCTAAACGAGTCGGTCTTAAATGGCGTTTAAGGTTTAGGGGGGTTCTAGGGGGTTTAGAGGTTTGGGATTTAGGAAATTAGGGTTTAGGGTCTAGGGGTTTATGGGCTGAGGGTTTGGGGGTTTTGGGGGGTGATTTTGAAGGTTTCAGTTCCAGATACATGAGTAACTGTGACAATCATGGTCCCTTTGGAAGGAACCCCTGGCAATTCTACTCTTAATGGGGCACCCTACATCTTGGGAACCCAGAAGGGGCTAGTTTTGACAACCCACGCAAATGCAGTCTAGGGGTCAAGGTTCTATAGGGTTTAGGATTTTTGGTTTAGCATTGTGCGGTTTAGGAGTTAACACAATTTGGGGTTTCAGGGTTTTGGGATTTGAGGGTCTCGGATTTAGGGTTTCGTGTTTAGGGGTTTCATGGCTTGGTGGCTGTTTTGTTCGAAGGATACTGGAGACGAAGTCAGATAAAGATTTGGAGACGCACTTCAGCAACAAAAATGCACTTAAGACGGCTCCCACGGCCACTTGGTCTCTGCTTTCAGTCTCGAGTACTTTGGCTCTTAGGACTACTTTGGCGCGTCTGGACGCAAGGCGTAGAAGTTTGGGCCTTCACCACAAGCAGGAGCACGATGGACCAGAACAGGGTGCCAATGCCTCCGTAGGCAAGATCATAGGGGCTTATTGGGGTTAGGGTTTGGGGCTAAAGGTTTATATTGGGTTTGAGCATTTAGGTTTTGGGGCTTAGGGTGGAGGGTTTGCGATCTAGATTTGAAGCTTCGGGCTTTAAAGTCAACCCTAAAACCCCAAACCCCAAACCCTTGGGTTTGGGGTTTGCCAGTGTCAACTCTCCTATACTGAGCTGAGACCCCCAGCAAAACCTTTGCAATTCTAGCGGTTTCTTTGGGAATTAAGTAACTTAAAAGCCATATTTCTAAGTCCCCCCCCTGAGTCTTTTGCACCTCGACTTGGGATTTTTCAAGGGTTAGGACCCATTCCATGCCCCCCCGAGGATCTGAAGCTCTAGGAAGGTACCGGTTGCAAACAGGTTCAACGCTTGAAACCATGGGCCCCTAGTATTGGGGTTTAGGGTTTAGGGTTTAGGGCTTAGGGTTTAGGGTTTAGGGTTTAGGGCTTAGGGTTTAGGGTCTATAAGGGCCTTGGGATCCTTATATACCTACTATATACACTACAAAGACTCTTAAGGGTCCCTAGAACGCCATCAAAGAGGTGTAATTGTCCATATTAGGGGCCCGTACTTCCAACCTTGGACAGGTGAGGAGTACGAGTTCGGGTTTAGGGCGTGATAGGGGTTTAGGGGGTTGAGGGCAACAGGGGTTTGCGAGTGTTGAGGGCGTAAGTTGGTTAAAGGGTTCAGGGTCGTCGGGACCCTAAGCTCCAAACGACTTCAAACCCCGAATCCTGGGGCATAACCAAAAATCGGCAAAGCAATCGGCAAACAGCCTAATCCCTAACCCTAAATATCACATCCTACACCCAACAGAAATGCCACAGAATTCAGAAGAGGAGGCGAGGGCTCCAAACTGAGTGAAGCACGACATGTTAGAGGCACCTAATGTAGGGACCTTAATACCAAGACTATTTTTGGGATTCCTTCTTAAAGGTATAGTCGATATAGTCGAATGGGCCCCACAAGACCCGATTACAAAAATAAAGATGAAGGCTCCTCCACTAGCATCTCGAGAATGGATCAAAGGCCTACAAGGCCGTAAAATTTTAGGCGCCTCCGTAGAACTGTGAAGTGTTGGGTTTATACAAGGTTGGGTATAAAATGGTATAAACCTGTTTCAAGCGCTGGCAGACCCGACGTAATCAGATCACGATGGAAAGGTTTGATCGAGGCTTATCGAACACGATCTCGAGATCCCGAAAGGCAATTGTGCTAGGGGCTTCGTGTAGGACAGTTTACGTCTTTTGTCTTATCACGCTTGTCGGTCTCTGTCTCAAGGCTTTCCGCCTTTGGTGGTTCGTCGGAAGTTCCGTGGATAATACACTGTAAACTGGCAGGCTCTGAAAAAAACACACTTAATACCCGTACGAACCCCCAACCAAAGAAGCAAGTCCTTAGAAGAGCTATGCCCTGAGCTATGCCAAATCCCTTTAAACAGTACAGATTACAGAAGTCAGAAGTCTAATCAAAAACCTGCGGGAGTGAAACAAAAGCACTTAAACCCCTGAAGCCAACAGCCGGAGCCGAACTCAAAACGCCACGTCACCGCCTCATTGAGGGTTGAGGGTGTGAGAACTTAGGGGCAAACCTGAACCCGAACCGGCAAAGTGCAAGCCCCATAGCTACCTAGTTAAGCTCTATATTACACCCCCCCCCCAAAAAAAAAACCTATAAGCCCTACACCCAAAAACAATAAAACCCTAAGCCCTACAACCTAAACCCAAAGCCCTAAAACCTAAACCAAACCTGAACCCAAAGCCCTCAGGGGACTCGCGAGCATGCTGGAAACGAGGAGGCGCAGCTCTCGGAAGACGGCGACCTCAACGCGGTGGTGAAGCACAGGATTGACAAAAATCTCCAGGGTCCAGGGTTTGTAGGGGTTTTAAGAGTTTAGGGGTTTAGGGTTTCGGTAGAGGGCTTTTGTAGGCATTTCGGAAGTGTGAAGATCTTGATCAAAAATCAAGAGGATTTTAAAACCAGGGATCTTGGCTCTTGTATGTAAGATCTTGAACAAAAGGCTTTTAAAACCAGGGATCTAGGTTCGCGTAGGGCTTCTGTAGGGGGTAGAGGGTGTCTGTAGGAGGCTGAACAATGGCAGGAAAGGGTCTGGGGCTTAGGTGTTCAGGACTTTATGGCTCGGCCTCTGACACTGGTACCGGTGAGAACATGCTAGTTTACTAGTAGGAACACCATTTAGTCTATCGATGATCGTTTTCATCATCTACATCATCATCATCATCATTGCACCCTGAACCCTAAACCCTAATCTTAATCGAAAAAACCAGCCGAGATGCTGTTTTGATGATGCGCGCCGACCTCACCTGGGCTATGAAGTAGCCAGGGAGAAAAAAGTACGTATAGACCTGTTTGTCTCATAATTGGTTCCCTCTAAGTACCAGGTCCCAAAAAAAGTATTACTATACTGAACTTAGAACCCTAGCAAAAATTACAATCTTAGCTGTCCCTAAGGTTAAAGTATGGTACTCCAAAGCCCAGTAGCCAGGCGAAGCAACTTGAAGGTTCGGACGCTGGAGGCCTGCTCCCCAGATGCTCCGGCGAGAAGCCTGGGAGCTTTCCGTCTTTCTTGGGGGATCTCTGGGCTTCCTTTAGGAGCTTATGGTTTTGGGGTTCAGGGGTTTTAGGGTTTAGGGTTCAGGGGTTTAGGTGCTTATGGTTTTGGGGTTCAGGGTTTTTAGGGTTTAGGGTTCAGGGGTTTAGGTGCTTATGGTTTTGGGGTTCAGGGGTTTTAGGGTTTAGGGTTCAGGGGTTCAGGTGATCTCTGTGTTGTTTTGCAAGGCCTTCAAGTTCTGTTAAAGGTCGTTTTGGCTCTTCGGGCTCAGTGTCTGGGGTGGAGTTATAGTGAGGGTAACATGGCAACTACGATCGAATGAGTGTATAGATGACGATGGCCACGGCCACGAAGAACATGACGATAGTGGTTGCAGTATGTTGCACTGTTGACTGTGGCGGTGGTTTAGGGGGTCTTCGTATTGGCTTTGGTGATGTTTATTGGTGGTGGTGGTGGTGGTGGTGGTGGTGGTGGTGGCGGTGGTGGCGGTGGTGCCGGTGCTTCCGGTGCTTCCGGTGCTTCCGGTGCTTCCGGTGCTTCCGGTGCTTCCGGTGCTTCCGGTGCTTCCGGTGCTTCTGGTGCTTCTGGTGCTTCTGGTGCTTCTGGTGCTTCTGGTGCTTCTGGTGCTTCTGGTGCTTCTGGTGCTTCTGGTGCTTCTGGTGCTTCTGCTGCTGGTGGTGGCGGCGGTTGCCGTGGTTGTGGTGGTTCTGGTGGCGATTGCCTCCGCACAGGCTTCGGCGACTGCGATTGCGGTGTGGGGGCACTGGTGGGAGTGGGCACGGGGAGATAAAACTTCAGAAGACTAGAAACTGAGGACGTGCATAACATGGACTCTGCAGATAAGTCAGAACGGAAGTCGTACTTCAGCAAGCATAAAACAAGAACTGGCACAAGCAACTATCAGCTAACCTAGTTCCTGAAATCTAAAACCTAAATCCTGCATGCGAAACCCCAACCCCTGATCTAGACCCCAATACCTGAGCCCCGCCCGGTGTCGCGCTGAGCTGAGCCTGCTGCAGAATGTCAGCACCATGGATAACCACCAAGACAGCATCGAAGAGGTTCATGTACCTAGGGCTTGGGTGTCGGGGTCTCGGGGTCCGGGCTTTAGGCTAAAGGTTTCCTTCTTAAGAATAGTTATTAGTGCTACTGTTTATTGTCCGTTCTGATATGTATATACATATATATATATATGGGTGGCTGTCAAAATTATGGTCCCGTTTTGGGTCCTTATCTTGATACGGCACCTATGATTTAGGGTATGCAAAAAGGGACCTTAATTTTGACAACCATTTATATTTATAATATTGTCACCAAATACACCCAACAAGTATGTCCATGAACGGTCCAGGCTGCATGATCCCGCCGGGTGCCTGGTAAAGCCAGGCAAAGCGCAGAATAAAGATCCGCAGGCACAGTTCGGCCAAGTACACGAAGAAGAAAACCTTGGGTGAGGAGATCCAGACACTCCATCATCGAAGGTTGGGTCCCTCTAACAATAGTGGAAAACTAGGTTGTGCCTTAAACCCTTGGAAAAGTATTTTGAATAGGTTCCCTTTATTAGGAAATAAGGGAAATTAAAACATATCCCAACGCACAACGCAGAAAAGGGTTTGGGACCAATGGTGTCATCAAAAACAGTATGTCAAAATTATGGTCCCTCTTTGGGAACCCTAAATATTAGGTGCCGTACTATATTAGGGATCCAAGAAGGGACCATAATGTTGACAACCACCCATATGCAATGGCCCAGCAGTACCTACATGACACCACCTGTTAAGGACAAAGTCCGACTGGAGGATCTGAAGCAATGCGCAGAACAAACCCCCTAGACTAGAAAGAAGCCTCTTCGGGGAACCATAAATCCTCCTCCTAAAGATCTCCACCATAGAGGTGAATAACAAATGGGCTTAAACCCTAAACCGAATAATTCACGTTTAGGATTTCCGGTCAAGGGTGTTCAGATCCAAACGTCATCATGCTTCTGGCACGAACAACAACAGGCCGTCATAGATTTGGCCAGCTGCTACAAGATGTGTATCGAACCCTGATAAAAGCCAACTACCCCCTAGCAAACAGCAACAGACCTTCGTACACTTTGCCAGGTGCTATAGTTGTAATTATAAGGACCTTTCCGGACTCTGACCACACCTTACCGACTACCGCCTTTCAGAACAGCTAGAAAAGAATCACAGTCAACGAAGCCCCATGATGGATATGCTACAGAAGCTGTTAGCCCCAAACACTATAACGAATAAACTACAATACCTACAAAAACCCAATTCTGAAAACCTAAGCCTTAACCCAGGACCCCTCTAAACCCTAAGAATTTAAACCCTAAACCTTAACCAGGAAATCCTAAACCCTAAATTCCTAAGCCCGGAAGCCCTAAACCCTAAATTCCCAAGCCCGGAGGCCCATTCAAACATGTCGAGCGTTGCAAGTGGAATGGCTGGAGGACCAGGGTCACCCCCAAGCAGAAGGACGTCGGCCTGACAAGACCAACCCTTCGGGTTTAAGGCTTAAAGTTTAGGGGTTTAGGGGTTTAGGGTTTAGGGGTCTAGGGTTTATGTTTAAGGCTTAGGGGTTTTGGGGTTTAAGTTTAGGGTTTAGGAGATCAAGGCTTAGGGGTTTAGGAATTCAAAGTTTCGGGTTTTAGGGTGACGAGACCAACCCGCAGGCTCGACTGTAAATGAACCTTACCCTTGAAGGAACCCTGAAAAGTCCCCTTAAAAGGTCGATGAAGCTTCAGAGGTACCCTTGAAGGAAGCCTTGAAGGTACCTGCAAAGATGCTATAAAGGCTTCATATGGGCATCATAACGGTTTAGTGGTGAGGGTATAAGGGTAGGGTCCTATAATGGCATTGATTGGGCTTTGTATGGGGTCTTTTGTATGTACAACAGTTCAGCATGTCAGTATAAGGGTTTGGTTAGGCTTTATGAGTTCGGCCCTAAACCCTAAACCCTGAACACCAAACCCTAGCCCCCTAAACCCTGAATCCTAAACCGTTTCGACATCCGCACCTGATGGCCAATGTCCTGAGTGCCGGCAGCCATGAGGCCAAGGTTGACCACGATGACAATGGCCATGATTCCGTCCAGAGGGCCTCATCCCAGACGGTCCCGCAGCAGGAGTTCAGTCGAGCTTCAGCGCAAACCCTACAGAAGCTTGAAATCGTCCTTGAGCATGCAAGCACGACCTAAACTCTACACTCGGAGGCCGATGGCTCGACACCATGAACGGAAAACCCGAAACCTCGAAAGCCACAGTTGTGCAAGAGGGCTCTCGTCGTGGTAGACATTGCCGCGATGCATCAGGTCATGGTAGTGGGTCTGATGAACTTATGATACCGACGATGAAGACAGGATGACGAAGACGATCATGACGATGATGATGGTGACGATGACGTTGACTCTAACGATGACCATGCTCATGCTCATGCTGATGATGCTGGTGGTGATGCTGATGTTGCTGAAGATGACGCCGATAATGGTGATGACGACGACGACGATGATGATGATTGTAGTGGTAGTAGTGATCATGATTACGACGATGGTGATGAGAGAGCTGAAACAACATGAGAAGGCACATAACGATATATGAAAGATTCATGCATTGGGTCTAGTTCCAGCGATGACACAAATCGTAATAGCTGCTCTGTTACGATGATCCCAAAGGCTCCATGTACCCATATAGTGAGTACTTAGGCCTCAAAGGGGTCCCTATCTAGGACTTTAAGGCCTAAGTATACACAAAATGGGTACATGGAGCCTTAGGGGATAATGTCACCAAACTCGACCGGGCATGGTCAACGCCAGCATCTGCAGCATTTGCACCAACGGCACCACCAACAACCACAGCAGCCAACGACGGCAGCCAGGCTAGGAACATCGGCAAAAGACGTCATCACCGCCGCCGCTGGTTGTCTTCTACCACACATCATGCAAGAACCTTCACCCGGGACATTCCTCCAATGTACAGGGCCACCCTTCGAACAGTTGTCTTGTGATTCATGGGTTTGGTCACCGCACCCCTCACCATGTCACCAAGCCAGGAAAACCCACAACACAAAGCACAGAACCCTTATGGCGGGAGTTCATACCAACGGGCCCGAAACCCTGAAACAATCAAAAACCGTTTCAAGCGGCCTTTGACCAAGCGCATCAATCTCGACTGTTCTTGTGGAGCCTCCTTCAAAGGAGTTCCGTCAATCAAGACAGCAGGCTCGAAAGGGAGTTGATCCAGGATTTAGGGTTGACGGATTGAAATGTTTTAGGTTTTAGGGATTAGGATCGAGGGATCAGGGTAGGCTTGCAGCGGACAGGATGTACCCTGGGGCTCGAAATAGCTTAAAGTAGGTACTACCTAGACCTACCACTGTAAAACCCAATTTTTTGTTATAGGTCCTTACTATAAACCCTGCTATGGGATTTATAGGGACCCTACAAACAAGTAGGTTCTGGTAGGTTAAGGTAGTTATCTACTCTGAACTCAAAGTTAGGTACGATTTTTGCGTACTTGGCAGTGCTTGGGTTGCTGTTTTAGGGTTCAGGGAGGGCAAGATGCAGGGCGGCTTTGGGCTTTCGAGGGTCAGATGTTGGGGGTTGAAGGTTTCGGGGTTTAGGGGCTCAGGGTAGGGTTTAGGGTGTAGGGGTTTAGGGTTTAGGGTTTAGGGTTGTGAGAACTACATCAGTAGACTGTTCTCGGTCACTCTCTGCGCTTTTATTTGCTGGCGTCATGGCCGCCATAGGGCCAGGGATGTATCTCGTGTGTACGCATGCAGGTTTAGGAGGGGACCCGAGAACCTTGTCCGTGAACCGCGGGTGTAAGGTCCACCACAGGGTAGTGTAGAAATAGGATATGTATCTACTAAGTTACCCCAAGGAACTTTACTATGCTAAAACACCAGAACCAGCAGGTCATTAATTATGGCCCCAAGACGCGTCCTCCTGTATAATGGTGCGCAAATTCGTTGATTTCTTCCGCGAGCTCGATTGTGGTGCGCTCGCCTGCATCCACCAACAGCAGGGATGGGACGAATGTGCCCTTTTTGGTGGTGCCTGGTTTAGTTGCTGCTCTACCGAAACACCCGGCAGCCAAACCCTGAACCACAAACCCTAAACTGTAAGCCTGAATCCTAAGCCCGGAACCGCAAAACCCTAAAACAGACTCGAGTTGCCTCTGAAGTGGCAGGAGCCACTTTGGGCGCATCCGTCGCAGGGCCGTCATCTGCATTTTCCTTGGGGCGCGATCGAAACTAATCCCACAAACCCTGAGACCTTAGATCCTCCAACTGAAACGGTTTAGGGTTTGGGGCTACCGTACACCTGACAACCTAAACCTTAAACCCACAAAATTCGGGAAACCTACACGAAGGCCCCAAGCCTACTCCAAAAAAACTGTATAAAGGTTTGTCAAAGAGCCTAGATGCATCCAAGCCCTTGCGTTTCCGTATTGTCTGATCACAGCTTGGAATCTCTGAAGGATACCACAATACCAAGCTTAGGCATGTAAACTATATGGGCCGCAGTCCAAACATCCGAACACCAAGGCGGCTCCTACATGGTATACATTGTCTGATCACAGATTCAGAAACAGCTGAAGGATCACAATACATGCAACAAAACCAAAGAACTGAGAAGAACCCCTGATTATACAAACCTAAACTCCTTGAGCCAACACCCTGTTGACTCGAGGCCCCTTCTAAGGAGCCCGACTTGAGTAGTCAGAGTAGTACTTTTTGCATACTTTGGGGTACGTGTACTACTATATATTCAGGCCTTTGGGCTTAGGGTTCTTTAGTCTGAAATCTCACTGCATACCATATGGGTCGTTGTCAAAATTAGGGTCCCTTTTGGGGTACCCTAAATAAAAGGTGCCGAACTATAATAGGGACCCAAAGAGGGACCACAATTTTGACAACCACCCATATATTGAAGCCTTCTGGGTAGGGCTCTATCGTCGGGGAAGTCCGGCAACCCTAAACCCTAAACCCTAAACCCTAAACCGAGGCCGAGGTGCCATGTCGAACTTAGCGCCAGCATCGGATCTCGGGGGCATCGCAGATTCCGCCTGTGTCGACGGCCCGGCTGACAGCACAGAGCTGGCATGTAAGAAGGGCCCTGGATAATTCGAATGGGGTTCCGTTAAGGGTTCCTTTACAGGGGTACTATGAGGGATCCATAAGGGTACTATGATACATAGGCCTCTTGGGGTACAGTATACTACAACTATAGTAAGAAACCAACCCCTAAAAATGGTGTAGGTAATGATTAAGGCTCTTATATTACACCGAATTTGTCCGATAGTTGTTCGGGTCCCATGATCAGCAAGCTATAGCCAAGCAAGGCGGTACGTTTTCAGGGCCTAGGTTTGGCTTACCTGCAGGGCCATGTGCTATTCTTTTAGGGTCGCGAGCCTTTGTATCTCGTCTTGGCGGACTTCTGAACCCCTCCTCAAAGTTAAATTTTTAGCTTCCTTATTATAGTTCATATAGAAACCCAAAAAGTTAAAGTCTAAAGAGCCAACCAGAAGAACGCCAAGTCGTCTGTAAAATCTAGAAGAAAGTCGCACTCTTAAAGACGGGGGCCGGGTATCCACCTTTTCTTCGATCGGATCGATTCCTTGTGCTTTCAAGGGTACAGAGCCTGGTGAAGGGCGTAGCATAAGGAGCTATAGGCTATAGACAAATATGAGAGTAGGGTTTTGGGGCCTGATATTAAATCTTCACAGAAAATCGAAATAAACCGTCATATGGTAACGCTCACGTCAACCGATAGCATCCTATATCGCCGAAACAAGGCGAAGAAATTACGTTGAACGTTGCCTGGCAAGAGTTTGTCCAAACCCTGCAATCTTAATCTTACAACCTAAACTCCCTAGCTCTCACGGAAGCGATCATCCTAGTGCTCTTCTGACATATCTCGTGGCCTTAAACGGCTCAGGACGTCGGGGGTTCATTGGGGAAAGATATCACCCCAAGGCCTTGCCAATGAATCAAGCCTGAAGCAGATCGAAGCAAATAAGCTCCCCACAAACTTGAACTCGCGGCAGCTACCGCCTCAAGTTTCCCTAAACCCTAAACCTTAGCCCCACCAAACTCCTAAACCACCTGGTCTCTAGACCATGACACCCTAAACAACATAGTTGAACTCGTAAGCTCACAACTCTGCAAGCCATTTTCAGCCCTACAGTCGAAGCCTGCAGCCCCAACTCCCCAAAAAACCGGAAGTACAGTGCGCTCCAAACCGCACTTCCTTCCTCCCATCTTGGAACCACCCAGACCCAGGCCTCGAAAGCCTGCCCGCCTGGCACTTGCCTTTGAACGGTTTAGGGTTTCAGGGTTTACTTGGAGTTTCATGGGCAGTGATAAGTAGGGTTATAATTCCCTTAATGATACGGTTTGCAAGTATAGTTTGCTTATAAGCCGAACTCCTATGCATGAACCTCCTTGCAGGGTCTAGAGATTGCTGGGTCTTGCAGTTAGTTTAAAGTGCAAGGGTTTTCGTCAGCATAGCGTACAATCTTTGGGAATCCCAGTGCCCAATATATACCAAGGAGCGCCGGCAACTGAAGTCTGGGCAATATTTTTTCGGACTGCTGTTCTCGGAACGAAGCAAACCAGAATCTGCTGCTTGATAAGGCCTTTGGGGTGGAGCGTGCAGGCTGTTGTGGGTTGTTCTCGGGGCACTGTTCCACCTCAACACCCTTACCTCAGCTGATAAGCGTAATTCGACGTCTGCTTTACGATTCTATTCTGCAGGGCTGGTTTTCCCGAGGTCCTACATACTATATGCCCTTTGGGCCTCAAACCGATGCGATGTCACACATGTACGTTAACAGCCTTTCAGGCCATGTCGAGTTAGGGCTCTACATTGACCAAATAAAGAAAACACGCATCCAAAACGTTAGCCAGCAATGCTCTTGGTAACACAAACCCCGAGATTGTGAGTGCAACGAGCTCCGGGCGTTAGCTTCTATTAGGTTTGTGGATTTCAGCCTTTGCAGAGTATCATCCTACAGTAGAGGGATTATATGGGAATACTAGTTCCAATTATTCTGACTATAAGCCCGACAGAACGAGTAGCATCGTAAGGTACTATTGCGCCCTAAATTACTGATTGAAACGGTCTTCGGGGGATATGAAACCATGCCGATATCAAAGAACCTTAAGGAGTACAGTACCCCCGAAACTCTGAAGGAACACTTTAAAGACACCACACTTCATCAACCCCCAACCCCGCAAAGGGGTCAACGGCTTAAGAATTGCCCAAAAGAGCCCTAGGATCTCAAACCAAAACTAAACAAACCCGACACCTAAATTCCCAAACCCCTAAACCGAGATGCCAAAGCCTAAAAGCCCCTGAATTACCCCAACACATAAACCCCGATGATCCCTAAACTCTAAATCCTACACCCTAACCCCAAAACCCTCCAAACCCTTAAAACCCCAAGCCATAGACTCGAAGTTTCCGGAACCCCTAAAACCCCTAAACCCCAAAGTCTGAATGCGCCGGACACCCAGACCAAGTTGCTGCAAGTGCCAGGGCGCGGCATGATCCGGTGGATGACCGAGCCCCGGGCCTCACATCTTTGGAGATTTCTGTGACGGCTTAGGCTTTCAATTAGGCTTTAGGGTTGAAGGTTCGAGGTTTAGGGTTTAGGATCTAGGAATCTTTTGTCGCTTCTTTTCCTTCCACATGGTAATGTGGTCAGAATGTCAGTATTCCAGAGGCAATGTACGAAAGACCTGGGCCCTAAGATCACAATCATCACCATCCAACATAAAACCCTACCCTTCACGTAGAAAATGGCTGCTCCTTCGACAGCGCTGGGCCAACACCACGACATTTCTCTCACGAGCCCCAGGTTGACATTAACAGGCACACCCTGGTGTCGGGTGTTTAGGGCCATCTGGCGACAGTCCCAAGAACATACTTCGGAGCCTCCCGCATGTCACGGTCAAGATGGGCCTCTCTGGCTATGCCACACATATCGTCACATACAACGTTTAACGGCGAAAGCAGCAACACTTCCACTGGAAGGCCAGCAACACATCAGAGACACTGGGTGCACCACACACATCCGATGCCATATCCCACTCTTCGGAAGGAAAAACATATACTTACCTGAGGATACACAGGTTCTCTTCAATGGCGCGCCACCAGCATCTGAGTGTGGTTCGGGGTTGAAGTTCTCACAACAAGCGTAAGGGCTTAGTGTTCCCCTGATTTCTGTGAGTATGATCATTGCTATTGTTACTAGTTGGCCCCGACTCTCAGAAGCAAACCGTCTAACTTGCCTACTGGATTGCTATCACTTCTCGACACGATGTTTTCTGCTAAGCTGCACAGCTTGAGTCCCAAAGCCCATGGCCCGAATGCCAGTATCGAAACTTGCTGGACTCAAGGGTTGAAACTTCGGTTGAGATATAAATCCTGCATTACCTTAATGACCCTACACTAATTATGGGATGTATGGTATATTTCTTATTAGTTGTGGGTAATGCAGGATTTATATCATCAACCGCTGGACGGCTTTTAAAGGAACATCTTCCAGGAACCTGCGTTTCCTAACTTCTGCGGGCCTCGAAGAAGGTCTCGCAGCCGGATCTCTTGCTCCGAGAACTTCTGATTCCTCGGTGGGCTTCACCCAAAGGCTCCATGTACCTTTATAGTAGATACTTAGGCTTGTAATTATGTATGTCTACCCTACTTATAAAGCCAGCTTTTCAATACAACCCATGAACCTCCAAGCAGTGACCCTCGAATGCTTCACTCCTACAATCAGCATCTCCGCGAGCTGATGGCAAAAGTGGTGCCTTAAAAGGAGCCCTATAGATCCCTTAAAGGAGCCCTATAGATCCCTTAAAGGAACCCTAGAAATATTGGAGTCTCTGGGAACCCAGGCTTGGGGTGTACGGCTTGTGGGCTTAGAGGGGTGAGGGTGTGGAGCCCTGTACCCCAAGGGTCCAAAGGACCCAACACTTAGGTACTTAGGTTTCGGATGGTAGTAGGGTTTAGGGTTTAGGGTTTTAGGGTTATTAGAGGTTACTATTCGATTTGGGACAGTATACGAATTTTAGGTACTTAGACCCTTAGGGTGAACCCTAAACCTTGACACAAGCGCCTGCATGCGCACACAGAGCAAACACAGCAGATATCTAGAAACTAACGAATTCTATGCTCAGGTTGGTATTAATCTCCTGGCTGGTGCAATTCATGTAATGAAGGCCATGTAGACGTAGATGCGAATACTCACGGAATGCAATGCGATGCAATCTGATGTAGCGCCATGTAATGTAATTAAGCTGATGCAACGTACTGTGAGGCAAAGTACAGCCGTTTTCAGCTTTCTAGTTAATTAACGCCAATACATATGTGTATGTGTATATGTATAGGGATGAGCAAGGTCAAGAGCAACTTATGCAAAGCCCAAACGCCTTTGCGCATTCAACGGTAAGCCTGAAAGTCCAGAAGCAGCACCGAAACCCCAAGACCCCTAGACCTACTCCCCGCACCTCACGATGCAACATCAGAATGAATGGGGAAACCTCAAGAAAAGGAACACTAACATACACAACAAGGAATGCTAGTAACCTTGTCATGACGGCCCCCAAACAAGATACCCTTATTTCTTGAATCTGTCTAATTAGCACATGCAAGGCGCAGGAAGGACTCTAGCCAGGCTTTCTCGTTGTGTGGAAATAAAACAGCCACAGCAGACTCATCTTCCTCAATCGGCTGTTTTCCCGGAGTGGAAGGCATTGCGCACTGGCTTGTGTCTGCTCTCTCACAATATGCTGCTGAGCCAGGGAAGGCAGCAGAGCATGGGGCTAATGATAACCAGACATAAACGCAGTGTCTAGTCGGCCCATCTATCTAAGGATTAATGCCAACTTATGACTCTGACACATCGGTGCCATGTGTCTTAGTTGTCACTTGTCTTATATACCTGCTTTCAAGAACGATACTAGGCTCCTTTACCTTAGCTCTATGCCCTGCATCCCAAATAACCGGAGCTAGGGCTTGGGGTTTGGGTTTCATGGTTTAGGTTTGGGAACTGGAGCTCAGCTTTTATGGTCTCCCTTGAAGTTCCGTTTCGTGGATAACGAGTTCTATGTGAAAGTACCCTAGCCACAAAATAGGCTAAACGAGGAACGTTACTACGATGGAGTCTATAGACAGGGTTCATTCTAGTGTGCCCTGTGCAGGACTCGGGTTGAAACTTTCGGCTCGGGTCGGACCAACGTGTCGTAAGCTACCCAGAAAACTCGTCAGAGAACCTCAGATGAATCCATTAAAAAACCTTCAGAAAACCCTGTAAAACTCAGAGAACCGTATATTATGAACCGATACAAACCCTCAGAAAGCCCAGTAAAACATATAGATAGGACCCCTTCTACTCAGAACCATCTCAGGGATGTGAGAACCCAAACCCTAAACCCTAAACCCCAAGAACCATCGATTCTCAGGGATGTGAGAACCTAAACCCTAAACCCAAGAACCATCTCAGGGATGTGAGAACAAGGGAGCTCCATGGCAGTCGCCTGGGAGAAGCATTGCTCCTGGCTGTGTTGTGAGGCAGCCTCGGCTCTTGGGAAAATCTCGCTATTCTATCTGGTTCTTAGTAGGGAATGGGGTTCTTTTAAAGGTTCCTTTAAAGGGTTACTATAAGGGGTCTATAAGGGTTCCTTTAAAGGGTTACTATAAGTATAAAGGGTTACTATAAGGGTCATTAGGGTATCTAGAGTCCCTGTCTGGTTCTGGCGGCCCCTTGAACAGGGCCTGGAAGTCTTTGTTTAAAGGGTTGAGGGTGTAGGGTTTAGGGGTTTAGGGTTATTAGTGTTTTAATGTCTGGTTCTTAGTTGGGAATGGGGATATGGATTATGGAGACTACTCTTGGGGATTATAGAGGGACTACTATAGGAATCCAGTCCCATTCCCTACGAAAACCAAACGGTATTGGCTGTATTGGGGTTTGGCCTTAACCCCACAACATTCATTTTCTAAGGATGTACAGAAAGACATCATGGTAAGAGGCCCATGGAGACAAGAAAGACGCCATAGGATTTCCAGGGCTTACAGAGCTTAGGATGCAGATTCTAAAGCAAGGACCTATAAGGTTCAAGATCTTGTGCTAATATGTGATAGTGTGTGTCTGTTTGTGTGAAGGTACTTATATATACATCTGGAAGTGTACATGTATATGTATATGGATATGGATCACACACACTTGTTTGTTTGTTTACTTGTTTGTTTGTTTGCCTGTTGTATAATAGAAGGCAACTGTCTATTCATGCATGCGTGGGTAAAAAGGCAACACATACATCCATGTAGGTATAGTAGGTAGAGAAAGCTAATCTAAGCAAGCACTAACCCTAGGGTCCATGTACTCAAATGGTATATACATTGGCCTTAATGTAGTCCCTATATAGGTACATTGGGCCCAAAGTATATACTATTGGGGTACATGGACCCTTAGGGTAACATTCGACGCCCAGAGGCCCGAACCGGGGAATCCGGGTGGAAAGCCGGTCCTCTCGCGAGGGCTGGCAAAGCTTTTGGGCTTAGCCTTCGGGGTTTAACGGTTTAGGGTTTAGGGTTTAGAGTCTAGGGTTTTTGCGAGGGTTTAGGGTTTAGGGCCCCTAAAGCCTAAACCCCTACAGCCTAAACCCCAAAACCCTAAACCGTTTATGGTTCTGGGCTTAAGTTTTAACGTTTTTGGGCTTAGGGTGTGGGGGGATTTTGGGGTTTAGGTATTACTTTGGCCTTCATGGAAGTCCCATTTAGCTACTTTGGGTTCAGAGGATTTCTTCAGGCTAGTTCGGCTGAAAGTGAAGGTAAATTCGGGCTGAGGGGCCGTGGCTGAGGGCGACGGTTTAGGGTTTAGGGTTTAGGGTTTAGGGCTTAGGGTTTAGGGTTTAGGGCTTAGGGTTTAGGGTTTAGGGCTTAGGGTTTAGGGTTTAGGGTTTAGGGTTCAAGGTGTAGCGAAGTCGTCTCATGTCTCCAAGCATCCAAAGGTTCAGGGAGCTGGGGCTTGGTTGGCTACCGAGCCTTGGGGATGAAGAGTCAGGGGATTTGGGGGGACATCGTAGAAAACCATACAAGAACATAAGGGAACGTTGGGACGCACCCGGAAAACTGAAACCTACCTAGAGGGTCTGAATATTCACAAGCGCTGATGAGTGTTTACGGGGCTTCGCAGCATACCCAAGGTCCAACAATCAGCTTCTTCGAGTTTTGCACCTGCAGGTCCTTAACATGTCCATGTCTGTTTACAAGTGTCCAACTATCTAACTGGTGCCTACAATGCCGAACCTGGAGAGGAGTTATAAGCAACTGCAGCTCCGGACCTGTTCAAGGTTTGGAATTTCACTCGCTGGAATGATGCTGCTGTGGTCAGGCACCAGTCTGCCAGAGCTCCTGCCCCAAAACAATACCAAAGTTGCCCAAAAGCCGCACCTTAAACGACCAAACCCTACTTTTTTGTAGGTTCCTATCATAAACCCTCCTCTGGAATAGTAGGTTTTGGTAGGTTAAGGTAGAAGGCCTAACTTCTGTGGCCCAAGACTTAGGATTGGTTAGTAGGGAATGAAAGGGGCCTTATAAAGGGGTCTATAAGGGTTACTATAAGGGATCTGTAAGGATACTATATTATAGGGGCCTTAATAATCCTATATCTTACTTTGGCTAGTAGGAAATGGAAGACTGGTAGCAATAGTAGCTATAATTTTACCCCATTCCTCCATTGCCTACTAGCCAAAGCAACAAGAACGATCCCGGGTTCAGCCCCATTTGCTCAGGCCCTTGACGCCAAAACAGGGTTTAACGCTTTAGCTTTGGCGCAACGAACGGTTTAAGGACTCCAACATATCTCCTGAAGGAAGCCTTAAACGACCCCTATACATCCCTGCAGCCTGAAGGACCGAATGAGGTGTATGAACCTTAAACCCTTTTAGGGTTCATTTCGTCCTTAAGGAGGTTTCAAGGTTGCCAAATCTGCGCTTCGCTGCCAAGGCACAGGAAGCTTGGAGGGAATCCCGGCCTCGTGGGGGGCTTGGAGTTGGAATGGAGGACCCAAAGGATCCCAGGTAGTGTGATGGGGGATACTTCCCCAAATCACAAGAGTAATTCCTAATATAGAAACCCTACATTCTACGAAACAGCTACTTTGGACCCTTTGGAGGAGGACGAGGGATTGGGGGGTCGTGAGTTACGGATTTAGGACCCAGGGTTCACAGCGCAGAAGATGATGGTGTTTGCGCTTGTTGTGTTGCCCCCAGAGCCTCCAAAACCCCTTAATTAGGGAATATACCTTAAATCATATAAGGGATCCTATTATAATTTAAGGCATATTCCCTAATTAAGGGGTTTTGGAGGCTCTGGGCCCCCTCGTTCTCCCTTTTCGGGTCGAAGGGGGAAGGGAGATTGAGCAAAGTTGGGTTTGGGTTTTCCAGGTTTGCGGGTTTCGAGGGCTTGGGGCTTGGGAGCACTTTGTCTCTCTGGGTGATGTCGAATTTCTTGATTGCTTTCTGAAGGCGAGGGGTGTCGGGTAGGGGTCGCGGATCTGGAATTAAGGGCCCATGGAAGCGGCGTCAACCCTGAATCCCGACTTCTGATTATCAAAGTGCTCTTGGAAGCCAAAGGCAAGAAGCGCCACTGAGTTTAGGAGCCATAAAAGCTCAAAACCGAGGATGGTTCATTATGGCTCGTTGTTATTCCTTTTTCGGGTGTCTGTATGTACAGACCCTCCTCTTTGCATAAAGAGGTTGATGGACTTCCATTGTTGGTCACCCTTGTTGGACCTATCTCTGCTGGAACAAGAGTCTTCGCGCACCGCAGTATTCCCTCAAATCCGTAATCTGGTACCACACTACATGGCTACACCCGGACAGTCATCGGCAACCTCCTGCATGGGCAAATCTTGCTGCTGGGAGACTCTGCTGGTCAGGTTTAAGTCAAAGTTTATTCGGTTTTGGAAGCTGCGCTCGAAGAGAGATGCACGTTCAGAACAGCCCCCCCTTTGTTCTGTGCTCGCGACGGGATGCCAGCAAAATTGGCAGCTGGCGCCTGAGGGATGCTGGGCAGCATGCAAATAGGAACATGGATCCTACAGGCTCCGCCCCTTACCTTGGAAAGCCCCTGAACCCTAAACCGTAAACCCTAAAAAGCCCCGAACATTAAAATCAGCTTTCTGCAAGTTTAACCGAAGTGGCGGTCGCATGGTAGCGGTCAGCACATCCAAATCCCAAAAAAGAGCATGGCTTAAAGCCACAACAAGCAAGCCGAAAGGGCGTAGAGCTTTAAGATGGCTTAGCGGCTTAGCGAATCTAGGGTATAGGGTTTAGGGTTTAAGGCTTAGGGTTTAAGGTTAAGGGTTTCGGGTATAGGGTTTAGGGCTTAGGGTCCTGACTCCCAGGCCTGTGAACCTTGTTCGGGCTCCTGCAATCCTATCTATGCATGAGCAAGGATGCAGATGCCTTGCAGCATGTGGCGGAAAATGTGCGCCGGCCCCTTTGTTTACCAGGACCTTACACCCTGAATACCGAAACTCCCAAACTTGTCAATTCCAATGCTCTATAAATATGTGTATATATATATATATATACACATACATACAGACACACGCATATATATATACATATATACATGTGTATATATATATATGTATATATTCAAACCTTACATCCTAAACTCTCAACCCCTGCATCAAAGGCGGCCCGGGACACTCGAAGGCACATTGAACTGAACCCTAGAACCCAGAA